GTTCATAGAAAGAAAGATATGAAGCGATTTTAATCTTATAGTTTAAGGGAAGATAAAGAGTGTATACATCTACGCCATTGTGATCGATTCTGAACCATGTCAACCAGAGTCTCCAACCATTGGTTACGATAGTCACGCGGACTCCATCTCAACTGTTGTTGCTACCATGACGTGGTGGTTGGGCTTGCCTATCGTGATGAAGCAACTGGGCTGTGCTGGCTGGAACAACTGTTCCTCAAGGTCCTACCATGTCAGACAGGTCGGTTGAAGAGCGGTAAGACTAAAAGCAACAAACCTAAGGTCCGAAGGCGAAGTCGTACTGCTGAATGTACAGAGGTGTGACGGCAGTAAGGTGTTTCCTCCAGACAACCAGTATGACAGCGATGCTGCCTTCCCACAAGGAGGGGTGGGGTTAGAAAACGTCGACCCTAAAAATTCACACCTCGCCTTACCTCACGGATATCCGTCTCCGGCGGTAAGGTCTCAACAAGTACGGAGCTAACACAAAAATTACCCACGGAAAGGTCGTGTGTGGCCGACCACAAGCAGTTGTCCGTTGGGCACTGCGGTCACGCTCCCAAATCACTAAGACCACCTCTAATCCAATTTTCTTTTCAAGTACCTCCAGAACAACCCTTACACGGTGTGGGCAACCGGGAAGTGATAACCGTCCTCATACATCTAACAACACTCAAGACCACTGTACTTTTATATATCTACAGATAAATATGTCTATAATTTGTTGAATTGTCAAAAAGAGGTTAATAAACCTAATGTTCTATATCTATGTCTATTGATATATAATGTCAACTTTATTTATTAAAGAGTGAATTTTATATTTTTCCTTTAAATTAGTTTATTTGATGGAAATAATTGATGTTTAAAATTTGTATTTCTGTTAGTAAAACATATAACTGATTAAAGCTAACCAACCTTGAAATTCAAACTAAAAGTTTAAGGATACCGACTGACGGAAAAACAACTTATTATCAAGTATAGTATATTATAATTTTCAAACTTAATCCTGTATTTTGTTGTATATTTGAAAATATGATTGTTTCAATGTGATAACAAAACATCAACTATTGAAATGTCATGTAGATGTCTATGAATATATCGTTGATATTCTAGTTCAAATATTAATCATCTATGAATCTTAGTAGCTTTGTAATCTACAATGATTGACTTTTTTTGCAAAGTATTACATGATCAAATCCACTTGTTTAGGTAAAATACAAAAGTTGTCGTTTAAAATCAAAATATTTCATAGTAAACATATTTCATTTATTCTAAAACCTTGAATTAAATTACGATAACTTTTGTGATAAATTGAAGTAAATGAATTATCTATATGGTAACTGGGTATTATTCAAACAAATCCATTTTTAAATGTTAAGCTTGAGTTCATCGTAAAGGATCGTTTTTTTAAATGTTCAACCACAATAAATAAACTTCGCTTAGGAACGAATAAACATTTGTATTGTTATATTTACTACTCATAAGTAGTATAAAATTATATTAAAATTTCGTCACGTCGTTACTGTGCGATTGAAATTACACAGTCCTCGTAAACCTAACAATACAGATGGTTCCATTCTTGAATCAATACCGTTCGGGGTTCTCATTGGAAATGATGAGAATTAGATTGCTAGTTATTTCTGTACAGTACCCCAAATTATTGAAAAATGGATTTCATTTGTGTCAACAGTCAGGTAGTTCATTCACGACGTCGGATTGCTTTTGCTCTTTAAAATGAGGCTAGAACTTTCAGTGAATATAGCTTTTCATTATAGAATATTTTTAAAAGTGTTACTCAGTAATCCTGCTTAATCACAGGGCTGTAAGGATCACTGCAACACAAAAAAGATAATATTATCAAGACGATATTAGCAGCTGAAGATTATTTAAGCAAAGAAACATAGCTTCATAGACTTTAGGTAATAATATTAGGAGAATCACCCTGATCGTTTCAAAACTTCATTTCATGTAGTCATAAAACAAGCAACCAATTATTCTGGTACTCACTAACTACAACAACGCGTTCAACAGGATTTCACAATATGAATTCCATTTGAAGCTGTAAAATACAAGAATACCAAGAGATTTGCCTTGGTAGGTTATTCAGTTCTTTCTTAGAGAATAACATAGAGCGCGTGATAACCCCTTGGTTTTTTCTTAGAATCTACCGCTTAATAAAGTGCTGCAAGTCATGATACTATGTCTATTATTATTTATCTCTTAAACTATTGAAATATTGTCTTATCAATTTCTAAATGATTCTCATCATGGACGACTTTGAGATACGAAGAGGAGTATCAAGCGATTACAGGACAAAAAGTTTTCAAGCTAACCTCGACATCTTAACTAGTTGAACTTAGTTATAGTTAGCACCTACCAATGCAACCAAATCTGTGCATACTAGGCATGTAGACAGCAGGAACTACAGAATTAGATAAATATCTCTGACCTCAGACCTCATCTACAATGACTTAGGAGCCATAGTATAGCATGAATTAAAGATCACTTCTCGCTGACCTTTATACGCGGTTAAAGGATTTTAGAACAGTAGATTTAAAAATACATTCATAATACATAGTCATAGTGAAATTTAAATGAGATTATTGTGCTCAGGACACAAATCCTTATCTAAGAGAACACTCAGATTTACTTGAAAGAGTACAGAAGATAAGTATATATGAGATTGATGAAGATGATAGGTATGACTCATGAAGCGAGCTCTAGTAATTTAATTGACATTAAACTATCCAATACCAAATTAAGCGATAAATTAATCATGGTACATATGATGCTGAGTAATGATTTTGAATCTAATATCTCGTTGATTCACTCACGTAGGCTGAAGTAACTCAGAGTAAACAGAATTGGAGTTCAAATTTATGAATGAATCATATATTCATAAGTCAGGAGTTTTTCTATCACATAACTGACTTCTTGAATCTGTTACCTTAAAAAATTCTCTGCTTCTTTGACTTATTTATTGAAGAGAAACATAAACATATAAAGAATTTTTTTTAAAGAAACTACTAAGATACACTATTTGACCTACTTTTCTGAAATAAAAATCTACAATTAAACAATGAAAATAAGAAATAGAAAGACACATATCGAAATAGTGTTATTATCTTTAAAAATGATAATAATATTCAGTAATTCAAATAACACTTATATCGTGAAACAACCAATGGTTAGAGTCCCCGAATGACATGGCTCAAAATCGTTTGCAATGGCTCAGGTGCATCTACTCTTTGTGTTCTCTCAAATTCTAATCTCCTGAATACTCCTTGTCTCTTTTTTTCTCCTTCAAAATTTATTTCACTGGATTATACTCTTTAAATAACATTTTCAAACCTTAATCTTTCCGATTACTGCTTATACTCTTACCACCTCTACCACTGTGGGATTTGAATCGACAACTGTATCTACGTGCTAATGTGGTGTAGCAACTCGAATTGATGTACGTACGTACGTACAAAGTTCTACGTTGTTACTGACTGACTGAAATATAGTTTATATTATAACTAACAAATCAACTGTTATATTGTTACTATGATCTTTTTATTATGAATATTATTATCACTGATGTGAATATTTTTTTATTTATCTAAAAAATAAAAATAAAAAAACAATTTGAAACAAACACTTATAAAGTATAAAATTAAAAAAAAACCCAAAAGAAACTGATCAACAAATGAATGAATGAAATTAACATGGGAGAAATAGAAAAAAAAGAAAGAAAAGTGTCATATTCATTTGTTTTTTCTTTTCTTTTTTAAAAGATTTGATTACAGTTCATTTACACAAAATGTTTGCATGGAAACAAAAAAATTAATAATATAAGTGGATATTTTAAATGATACAAACGATGAACTTGTAGTAATAGAAATATTAATGAAGCTAAGTAAATCAGAATATTCAAAAGGGAACAGAAAACAAGAATATACTGAACTTATATGTATATATATAAACCATTTGAGATAATTAGTGATTATGATATTGATGAACTCTTTCTTTGACCTAGAAAATATTCAGATGATTGATAAAACTTCTTTCAGGATGATACACTTAACGATTTATGTATATATTCATCAGTTCGAATCTTTTCTTATAAACAACGTTCACTTGCTTACAGTATAAAAACTAAATACACGAAACAAAAAAAGTTGTTCAAGTAAGATTTCGTTGATATTTAACTCAGTGTTTGTAGTTTATATTTCTACAGCAGGCGCCATTATTCTATGCTAATTATTCACTATAATCTTTAATATTTAAGAAAAGTCTATCCGAAATGTGTTTTTTTTAATATTGAAATTTATAGTTCAACTAGGTATATGTATTAATTGATCATAAAAATATTTTTTTTTAAAAAAAACAACCCAACTTGGTTTCAACGAAAAATAACCTTGTCGTTATTTAAACATTCAACAAGATCATGATCAAGGAATAAATGTCATTGACAAAATAACAATGAATTAATCATTATTCATAAGAAATTTAAATATGTTCATACAAATGATCTTTATTCATTTCATAAATATCAGCAGTTAGAATTTAAGGGAAATCAAAAGATATGCATTAGAAATGATCTATTCGTTGTTGTTGTTGTTGTTGATGTTGTTGTCTTGTAATATCTCTATTTATATTATCATTATTATAAAGAGTAATAAAACAAATTAAAAAATAAAGAATTAGTCTAGTTATATAAACATGAAAATTTATATTTACTAAGGCATTTAATGTGAATATTTCATAATTGAATTTTTTTTTCCTTCAATAAACTAAAATAAGTAGTATTGTAATTTTAATTTAAAAAAATATAAATAGTTGTTATCGTTGATTGTTGTTATTTGCTTTTTTTGTTTTTTTTTTTTTTAATATTTTGATATAAAAAAAGTCGTTTTTTATTCTAGTTAAGATGATTTATTATTGGAATGATGGAAGTGATTCTCAACATTGATTTGTTACTCAACTCAATAAGAGGATTATTTATGATTACTTTTATTATTATTTGTATATGAATCCAATGTGTTCGTTAGGACTGCCGTATGTGGATTTAAATGTGTAGTCTGTAGAATGGCTTGTTCTAGTGCCTGTATAAAAAACAAAAAAAGAAGAAAATGATATGTATATATATATATATATCTGACAAAAAGTAAATGCGTTAATTTATGTAGAATAGAAGGAATGTGAAATTTAGTACGCGTTATCCATCCTATTCGAGACTCATCAGCAGGCTTAACATGCAATAAGATAGTTCAAATCAGTGCAATTTAAATTAAAATGCAATAATTTTTAACTTTTGGCTAGTAGTAGTAGTAGAGTAAAAGATGCAAGTTTCTTTCTAGTTCAAATATATCGCTTAAATGTATATGAATATTGATGATAATCATGTTAGTATTGAAATGTGAAATGAGAAGCCGTTAGTTTAAATGCCTTTGAGAAATGGAAAACTTCTAAGAATAATAATAAAATGTAATATTTTTATTGAATGAATTAGAGGTGTTAAATTTCGAGATACATTAATTGACAAATAAATTAAAACAACACTCTGAATACATGTTATACTGAAACGATGTAAATCTGAATTAGATTGCATAATCTAAAATCAGTTAATTAAAAGAACATAAATTAAATTTCATTAAAGCTATATGAACAAAATTTTAATATGCCTTTCATAATAAATACAAAAAATATTTAAGGTTCATAATGATTAACCGTTTGCTTAGATAAAGAGATACCTGATTCATAAAAAATTAACTCAATAAGATAGATTGGAGTTAGGAAGGGTCAAATGACTATTTCATTCTGGGGTTAACTACATCTCATATTTTGGAATCAGTGAAATGAACCGTATTCGATTTTCTTTACGATAACTCCATTTACTTAAAATGTACAGTTATACTTCTAGTGAATTAGTTTGCTAAAAATAGTACTCTATGATAAAATAGTAGTGTGAAGTAATTTTGAAAGATTTAGATCTCATTGCCTGTTTCTTTCCTTCAGATTTTGGTCCAAAAATATCATGACAACATATTTATTTTGATAATTCATGATATTTTAATCGTAAGTTTTATGAAATATTGACAAAAAACGAGAGAAATCTTTATCAAAATATCCTGAATTACAAGCATTTCTTTTGAATTCGTGGTAAAATTGTGTCCGCTATATATATATAATGACTATAGTCAATCACAGTCTAGTCTTTATAATAACATTAAGTGACGATGTAATTGATTCATGTTATACTTAATGAATAACTGAAGCCTTTCTTTTCTCACTTTAGTGGTCAGAGTGAAGAGATCTATAGCTTTGCTTAATCATGTTTCTTTAAAAAAAAATTTGTTGCATTAGATTTAAGTCAATAGACTGAAATAAATATTTTAGTCTAATGAGTTTTACTAATTTTGTCAACATAGAATTAAATGAACAAAAGTAGTTCATTTCATTAAAATTCTCATGTTAAATATACATAAATTTACACATCATAGCAAATTAGTAAAATAAGGGTAATACAACTCATACTAGACTTAGATTATAAGAGTTTAACTTCAGTTGGTTATGTAATTAGGTAAATTAAAAATAATGTATAGTGACACTATAATTTATGGACGACCTTTGTGTGACGATAGACTGACCTTAAGAGTGCCCATCTAATAACTAAGACCAAATAAGGATTATAAACCAGCGTGAAGAATTGCGATTAAGATTTACATTTGATGGCTAAGGTTAAGACTTAGATTTAGAGTTTTCATAGCGAACTGACATAAGTTATAGTGCCAAAACTCTATTTAACCAAATGGATGACTGAATTTCGCGACAAAATCCGAGATCTATGATCTTATACCTGATTAGTTCGTCGATAAATTCTAGTCCCACCCAATGTGTCTCATACATAAGAGGTTGAATACTAAATGAATAGTTTGAAAGTATTTGGTATAAATGGGAGTCAAACAATATATTATTACTTAAAAAAATATCCAAAGGGTTGAAGAAATCAGTGAAGCTAATCCATGTTGGGTGGTCTAACATCAATCGGTTCATGATTTCAATCAAAAACTTAATAATCTCCACAACCCCTATACTAGTAGTCCTAAACTAAAAATTGGAGAATTACATAATAAAGCATAAAAGAATCAATCTACATTTATTAAAAAGTTATGATAATAATTCTTGACGGGAAACCGAAGTACTCTTGATTAATTTTTATTTACACAAGATGTAATTTCAATGTGTATAAACTAATTAAATTAGAACTAACATCTTAATAAATATTTCTATATATTCAGAATGAGTATATGCTTAGGAATAATTACTGATTGTAGGAATCAGTATCAATCTAATAATTTCATGGTTTTGAAGATTTCATATTGATCAAAGTTATCCTCAAGTATTTGTAATTACTAAGGTGCTGAATACTCTCTTATAATTCATTTCAAATAAGAAGCATTAGGGTATCAACTTAAAATCTATCTTATATTACTTTGATACACAATGAACAAGCTTTTTTTTAGCATAGGACAACATGATATTATAAACTATAAATGAGCGGAAATCATGAAACCTTAAAAGTCATAAATAGGGGTAAGTTAGTTTCTCAATCGTGCAGTCTAAACGTTTTCATGTCTTACCTATGAATAAGATGAGTATTAGTTCTATTTGTTGTCAGATACAAAATTCACTTGTTTTTCTGTATTTATTTTAGGTATTTAGAAGTCAAATGTATAACTCATTGTTGTTATAACTAATTGCTTGTAAATATTGAATTAAATCAATAAGATTACAAAACAATATTTGTTATTCAGTCTAAATTAAATACATTTCATTCAATGATATATTTTATAAATAAAAATAATACATGAAAACAACTATCATTTCATTATCTTTTGTGTAAATCAAGTAAGCTGCAAGTTAGTGTGTTAGGCAATAAGTTAGAGCTATTTATATTTTTAAGTGTAATAACCGTGATTATAATTTTGTTAGATTATCAGGTAGCGCATATTCGATGAGTTATGATACTTACAAGATCAGAGTCTATCAACGTTGTGGAACTTGGATGAAATTCAGAATCGACGCATGTAGGAGTAATCTGTTTTTGCCGAAAAAAACCAAGGAAAATATCTAAATTCTTAAAAGTTGATTAATATGAATATATTTTCAGTAATGATTATAATGGTTACCTACTATATTGTATTCAACCTTAGCATCGTTCATGAAAGGGATAGATCGCATCAGTGAGTAACTTCATATGAAATTAAGAATAGTATGAACCGAAACGCACTAAAATTTTAGTTTCAAAATCTGATCTTCCAAAAGAAACTATCTAAACACAACAAAAATGAGGAAAATTTGTGCGATACTAGTAAAATTCAAGTTGCACACTCAGAGACTGGTCACTGTAATAATTTGGTTACTGACGATTTGATACTTACTATTTTTTTAAAATTATCTTTCAGTGATTACATTTTCGGCAAATCTGTAACCCAAATAACAAGCAAAATTTTCAGAATAGGTTTATACTTGGAAACTTAGCCTGTTGTTAATGAAACATAATTCAGCTTGTTCTTCTAAGTATTACTGTATCAATTAAATAATTTTCATAGGATAAATTGTGTGGCTAAAGCGTGATAGTGCCTCTATGACAAGAGTATATACACTTACTAAACTTCAACCTCATCAAGCGTGAAGATGGAAAAGAGAGTGGTTATCATCTTAATGACCACCTAGTGTCAGTCAAGAAATCGCCCTTAATAATTGTTCGAGTATTTTAAATAATGCATGAGTGATCAGTTTACAAAATAAAAATATCATGAACACTTATTCAAAAAAGTGTATATGGAATTTAAGTTTGTCCGAAAATCAGTATATTCTATAGATCAACTGACGCATCCATGAGTATTATTAAGTTTTCACAGTTGAAATCACGAGTCGATCTAAGCTAGACCACTATTGAAAAACTGGAAGCACCGGATGTCAGTTTCGCCCCAGTGTGAGACTCCTCAGTAGTGCCTGTTCGCGATCCTGCACAATGGACTCGAACCCAGGATTTCCGGTCTCGCATGTGAACGTCTAACCTCAGACTACTGAGCCGGGATCGAGTTGTGGTAATATCTGACTTCAATCGATCCATGATCTTGCCTAACCCTTTATCCATTGTTTGAGGTAAATAACTATCACATACCTGACACGGGTTGGGCTCCAACGCCGGCTCAGTGATCTAGAGGTTAAGCGTTCACGTGCGGGACCGGAGGTCCCAGGTTCGAGTCATGGGTCCAGAATTGTGTGTGCCCACTGATAAGGAATTCCACACTAAGATAAAACGGCTGTTCAGTGCTTTCAGGTTTTCAACAATGGTTTGGCTTAGATCAAATCGTAATTCAAACTGTGAAAATACGACAATCTACACAATCCCCATACTGATAATATTAAATTCATAAAACTATTTGTACTACTTGCTGATTTAAAGTAGTATGACTTGTATAGAGACAATACAAAATTATGATGGAATTACTAATAAAAAGTTTTACGGAAGAGTTTATGAGTAAATAAACATGTTACCATTTATTCATCTCTTTATGATAAAATTGTTTTCACACATTTCAGATTTGTTAGAAAATGTTGTACAATGAATATATGACTTAAATTTACTCAATCATTATCTGACTTAAAAATACAAGTCAGAACGTTAACAGAATCTTATTTTATATCCCAATTATTGCCAAAATGGGTGTATTCCACAGAAGTAAAATAATCTCACTTACAATATCAGCGTGAAAATTTGATATAGGATTACGGTGATATGTTCCATTGGGTTTTGTTTTCATCTAAAATTTTAGAGAAAAAAGATATTGATGATAAGATGTAAATTTCAAGAGAATAATCAAGTAAACTCTTAAGTTTGAATGTTTTTGTATAGTCATTTTTTATTAGAAGACTTAGTTATTTTCTTACGCAGTAATAGTACGTATAATAATTATTATTATTGAGACTACCATCGTTATCACTCGTATTATGAGTAATATATTATTTTTCACGATTCCTAATCAATAATAACCTAATTCTTATAACCTGCACATATTTCTTGTAAGCGTGCTCAAATATTTAAATTTCAGCTTTATTCTTTTCTTATATGAACTAAGTCTGAGCCACTATGGAAAATCATTTTATTCATTTCTGAACTTTTATCATAAACTGACTCAATAAGGATGGATCTTATTTATGATACTAATAGGCATATACAAAACTAGTAGCTGATGAGGCTATCGTAAAAACGATGCTAATGTCTTACAGGAAACGATAACCGTAATCATTTTTTTCCAGTTCTATTTTCCACATGATCTTTGTATTTTTCTGAGTAGTTGTAATTGCTTTTATTTATTTAAATTTCTGTATGCTTGAAGGCCACGTTTTTATCACTATATATATATTTACAATTGTATCAGTTTGCTAGGATTATAGTTAATGGACGATCTTAGATTAATGGTGAAGTGAATTATAAAACATTTAACCAATTACTAGGGTCGAAATACAATTAAACATTAGTGTGAGGAATTAAGATTTAGGTTTGGGAATTATAACTGAGGTTATCATCACAAAGCGGTATCAGTTATAGTATTAAATGAATTTCGCTCAAAAATTCAACAGCCATCATGTTAATTCTTATTGGTTCGTCCATAAATTATAATCGTGCTTTAAGTTTTCCTTCAACTTGTCTTCATCCTTAGTTTGTTAGCTGCCAAGTGCTGATTTGTCGTATGCTAGTTGACATGATCGATTTCACAGAAAACCAAACTTAATAAATACTGTGGCTTGGAATGAAAATTCCTCGTAATTTAAACAAAATATGCATATACTTTCTTAATGCGTAATTTAATCAGTATAGTTTGCTTTGACGTATTGTTGATATAAATTATTTCTATTTACATAAGCTGACTAATGCTAGACGACATATTATAGCTTAAATGTATAAATCAAATGAAATACATTTTAATGGCTTTAGATTAAGTATGAAGAGTAAAAAAAGATCAATTAAAGATGAGCTTCAAATTCCATTTATTTATAGCTAATTTAATGATACAAATGTCTTTACTTGATGTCATGCTAAATTATCTTGAATAGAATATTTAATGGTTGTCATTAGCCAGCATCTAATGAGTGATTTCTCAATAAATTTAAGAGGGACATAAGAATAGAATTGCTTCAAGTACAGGAGGAAAGTGTATGATATTCCTTGGACAGATCTAGGTTATTTTGATACTATCTTTTTAACAGATCTCACAGTTTCGAAAACATCAAAAATCAAATGAAAATAAGATTTTTGCGCTACGGAAATTAGAGCGATTTTAAATTAGAGGGAAGTGGTATCCAGTGTTGCCTATGTTCAATTTAGTCTGTTGCTAATAACAGTATAAATGACATAATGTATCTTTATTTCAATAGATATTATCATGGAATGGAAAACTAGGAAAATACTTTGTAATTAATAATGGACAATTAAATGTTATAAATAGTTCTACTGTTTTACTTGTGATTCAGATCGCTCCGTAGACGGATGATTTGTATAAGTGTTATATAAGGCATCAAAATGACTTTCAGTAATTGGTTCACAAGTTTCCAGAAACTAGAAAATATGAACAAAAGAAGACAATAATACAATTTATTAACATCGTTTTATAGCAATGTGTCATGTATTTGCTGCTAATATCTTGAACTCATGTATTTTTTAGAGGATGTATACCGTAGTCATCTACTTCTATTAACGTTCGACATTTAATTACCGATTGTATCATATACAAGGTCGTTAAATAAATGGAAAGGTATCTGTAGTAAATTTAGACTCTTTGAAACTACTCACTCACATGACTATCCAGGACATAATTCAGTTGTAGCAGTGACCACATCACTATACATCAGATGCGTTGGAACTTGATGGTCAGTACTTCTATTTTCAATAAATGCTTACTACACTTTGATCGTCGCCCATTATCAGCAACGAGTATCTTCCCTCACTCGTGACTTTCCTCCTGAACAAAGGCCGTAATATCGAGAGCAAAGCAAAGTTTCCCACTGGTTCTTTAGATAATATCAATACTTAATGAAGCTGCCATCAATTGATTTTAACTTCTAGAAGCCAGCTCTTCTGCAATTATTGTTGAATCTGATTCACAAGTAACTTTTAATAAAGATATTTGTGAAGCTTTTTGTCACTAATTTCGGATCTGACTTTAAAAATATACAATTTTAGAGTGATCAAGTTTCTTCAAGAAAAAAGTTACTACATAGTGATTAGGTACATATTGTAGTATTTTAGGAAATCTAAAACAATATAATAACGTTCTAAAATGTAACTATTCGGTTAACTAACCCAATCTTTAATGCCCTATATTTCGCTTATGATGGTCTATAGTAAAAATGTGCTATCTCTTGCCTTGAAATTCACACTTACTGTCATCAGTAAAACACATTTAAAATCTCAAAGAAGAAAACCAGTTTCTTCATGATTCATGTTATTTGGTTGTTTTAACGACTATGATTAAAGAAAAAAGGTTTAGAGCTACGTGGCGTGCAACTAAAATTATCTAACCTTAGGCTAGAAGAAAAGGTTATTGAGTATTAACTAGTTTGAATTGTGTTTAACGTTTAACAACAAAAGATTTAGGTATTATTTCTTTAATTATTTACTATGACTTTTGATAAAGACCATTTCTTCGGGTTAGGTAATCGAAAATATACGAGATAAACCATTATTTCTTTATAAAATGAATATAAATAACTTTAATTATTGCACTCAAAGGCACATGGAAAACTGCTCATTATTAACATAATGGTAAATAACATTCAAGTAGATTATTTTCTGGAAATAAGATTCGTTCTTTTAAAAAGCTGCAGAAATACAAATCAACATTTTACGTCATTGATCAGTAAGATACAAAATTTTCTACGACCGATTTCGATTCATCCTATTGTGTGATCATATCATTTTCGTTAGATAAATTATCCTGTTGTTAAACCAATCAATATACACAATATAACCATACTTTTATTATAATTCTAGTTTCTTTAAAAATATATATAAAGCGTAGTATTTTTAGTCAGATATAAAATTCTAGGGATAGCAACTGATAGGTGTATTTTTAGTGCGAATCAGTGACGATTAACACATTAAATCCATTCGGAAATATGCTTTTTTCTTCTATACAAGTGAACTTATTTGTGTTTTTTTATACCGTACTGGTTAAGTTCTTTAGAGTATATGTTTAATTCTTTTATGTATCAAACAATGAATACTTAAATACATGAACAATGAAGAACGATTCGAATCAAAATATTAAAGTTTCAAATTCATGATTCGTTACATGCATCCACTATTAAAGTATAAGTCATGTTTCAAAATCTGAATCGAACATACCATTCTTACTTCATCTTCTTGCTGATCGCTTGATGAAGGGGATTCTATACGTATTGATTCTACAGGAATATCTTCTAGTTTACTTGGGCTGCTACTTTTTACATTGTTGTTATCACTGCCAAGATTATTATTTATTATTGTAGAATGACCATATGTGTCACTGACTGAATTTAGACTGATTTCTTTCTGATCTTCAGTATATACTTCTGTCTTTGTATTATGAGTAACTAAATGTTTTCTTGAGTGACTGTCGTGTTTGACCGTATTCTTCGGTGACGAAATAGAGTGTGGTAGAAGCAATGATTAAGAAATAATTTTTATTTGGAAACATGAATCATTAAACTAGATAATTATTTAATTAACTATTTATGTATTGTTAGAATTTATATGTAATCACTTATACAGTGTAACTACTTGATATAAGTATCTTCACATTCAATTCATTGTAGCCCGTTGAATCCTACTTCTGATCTTAACATCGCCAGTTGAGAATGCACAAATCAAACTCAGAGTAGGATATAATGTCAAAAAGTATAAGTTTATACAACTGCAACTAAAGTTATTAAAAAGGAGTTGATAAGCTTATTGTAAAATATACATTTACGAAAATTGACTAGCTCATTTATATTTTAATGAAATAAAGGTTCGTTTCAATAAATTAGATACGTCCCTCATATAAAAATTGTTAAATATATGAATAAAACATTGATCAATGCTAACTGTCATTTATAATTTGATGGACTTTACAGAGTCGTTGTGAACACTGAAACCTATCATTGATAATGATTCGAAAAAGGCAGGTTATATATTTCTAATTAACATCCAAAGCAAAATAAATTTACGTTTCAAATTTATTAATTGTATATATATATATATATATATATATATATATATATATATATATATAACCTAGCTACAGATTGATTTGATTTTCAAGTTGTGGCGTTTGCGAGTAATGGTCCCCAGATCACAGGCAATTTGTTTACACATTTCTGGTCATATTATCTTATCATTTACAAACACTTTATTAAAACTATAGGTTTATTATAGCGCTAATCTGAAAAAATATACTAAAGGTTAAACAACACTTACAGAACTAGGCCATTTTGGTGATTCGAATACATATTCGTCTGAAGCTGCAAATAATGGAGTCCAATCGTCCTAGTATTTTTACGAAAAAAATTATATAAATAATTAGTTTACTCTTATTAACAAGTGGTTCATTTAAAAGTTATATACTAATTTTAATAGTTGAGACCATGAATCATTTGAAGCTAGACCGTCATGGGAAACTTGGAAGCATTGGATGGCCATTTCGTCCTATTATGAGACTCCTCAGCGGTGCGCATCCACGACCCCGCCTCACGTGATCCGAACCCAGGACCTATCAGTCTCGCGCGCGAGTGCTTAACCATTAGACCACTGAACCAGCCGGCATACAACGGTTTTACTGTTTAACTTTAACTAATCCATAAAATTGAGCGACACATCCATCATTGTCTTCAGTGAGTTACTATCTCACAACAGAACTGGTTGAACTCCACTAGTCACAGCTTCTTACTAGAACTCCAGGAAATATCTCTTGGAGACCGTCACTAGTGAGCATATGTTGATTAATATCAAAAGGGATTTTGTGGATATTATAATATATAGTTGTATATCAATTACTTTATTAAGGTTTTCATGATTTACCGAATTTTAGGTAAAAGAAGTCAATATAAATCTTTTGATAAGTTTGGGAATATAAACACTTGAAGATCTTTTTTCTAAAATAACCTCAAACACGTCCACTGTATCGTAGCTCGTAAGTTTACTGAATAACAGTTGACTATCATGTATTGAATAAAAAATTGTGAATGTATGCCTCAAGTTTAAAATCAAAGGAAACAAGTAGACTTTATTATTTTTTAAGTTTTAACCAAGAAATTTATTTAATGACCGTTTGTCACCTCTTATATCATCAATCGAATATAAAATAAAATCGTATGGTAAATTAGTGTTTGACAACAAACTCAATTATTTGAACAGTATTATACAACTGTAGACAAGTTATCATAAGAACAGATAGTCTTCTATGTAAACATGTGAAAGTACTAGTATAGTGTAATAGTATTTGTAGAATACAATTAACTGACTGATTAATCTTTTATATTTATTCAGTATCGTATATCTGATTGATTGTATTTTGATGTTTTTTGGAAATAAGAACCTCCAAGTTGTGTCTTTTAAATCAACAAACCAGTGTTCGAAACATTGTACTTGTTACAAAATATAGAAGTTCGCAAATGAATTTAACGCCATAAAGATCACATGAAATATTAACAACGTAAATATTCATGTTTATAAGTTTGGGATCCACTGCCGTCATACTCAACAAATTTTTGAGTAGCAATACATCAACGGAACAAATTTACCATTCATCACTTTAACTCTTAATGAATATTAGCCTGAGGTCAATTCATTATTAAAATCTTATCACTTACTTCTGGTGGATATTTAAATGGTAAGTCACCATAATTTAATTCTAAAGTAGTATCGACCAAAGAAGCTGCAGGATAAATTGGTTCATTGTTTTTTAATAATTTTTTGTCAATTTCATAAGCAGGACCAAATAAGCGATTATTTTTTGACCATTGTATTATTCCGTTACTCAGATCAAGAAAACAACCAATTACATCATCTTTACGGAAGGCCTAATAAGGAGACAATGTTAAGAACAGATGGATAGATGTTATATGAACTCTGAATATTACTGCAAATCAAACGAAAATTAATGAAATACTGGTGAGAAAACTTTATATGACGTGAAAAGAAGCATCACACAATCACTTAATATCATCTATAGGCACTTGACTCAACATATACTTGGAATACCCTGAAACTTTAAGTCTTAAATAAATTAATACCTATTGTGTATTCAGTTTAACTAAGTGTAGAGTCCTTGATATTGTTAGTAATCTCAGAGAAATATTTACGTAGTCGTTTCTTGATTTCACAATTACTTGATTCCGAAAAGATATGCTAAAATTTATCGAAACTGATCAGTTAACTCATCTAGGCTGAAACAAAGTGTTAATTACATATTATCACAGGCTTTACCATAATTCATTTTATATGAGGTATAATAACATAAGGAGCCAACTTCAAGCATATATCTTTGATAGAAAAATTTCCACAAACAGATACATGATTTAAAAAGGATCCCGATTAGGCCTATTATGTTCTGTACTCATATTAGATAATTTGTAAAATTTTTTTCCTGAAGGAATATGTATATAAAGTCAGTTTCAAAATATCTACGAAATCTTCACTACTACAATAATACGATTACAGGTAAGGCGGGGGTTAGAGGTCGTCACCAGGAAATCCTGGACCTAGGTTTCGTGTTACTTGGCACTCGTCAGCAAGGTATACCCGTAATCTTGAGGGGACTGATGCTTCCTGATTGATTCGATCCCTTGTCACCTAGCTTCACAGTCAGAGACGTTCCCACTGAGCTATCTGATCCGCATCAGTTCCTTCAAGATTACAGGTACACCTTGCTCACGAGTGACAAGTAGAGTGAAACCTAGGTCCAGGATTTCTTGTTGATTACCTCCAACCACCATCTTATCTCAACATAGTGCACGCAATGTTGAGTCATCTAGACTGGTGGCCACATTGCAACTTGATCGATAGGATTCGATTTGCACTAGGAAGGATCTGACATACATGACATCGATCACCACCCAGTGGTCAATCAATTGTAAACGTTAAGAGGTTTTAGATGTTTGAAGTATTCATCTACTCAAATCAAACCAATCTATCGAACTTCAATATCAACCACAATAAAAACAATCAAATTTATTGAAAAGAAAGCATTTTATTCTATCATAAGATAATTTCAACAAATAAATTTATTCATCTTATTAACTTTATAAAGCCACTATATCAGGTGATATAATCAGTTAGTTGTAGTGGTAATCAAATATGTTATTCTTTAAACTTGAAGCCAATATGAAATATCAACAAATTGTTATATACACCCATTTATATGAAAAGTAAGTTTGTTTCAGGAATAACTAGCAATATCCATACTAATAACTTATTATCGATCAATATTTTTGCATTTTGTTATATTGTGATATGCAGTTGTAACAGATTGTTTTCACACTTTACATCACGGACAAATTTTATATAGAAAACCATAGAGAACCAATGGACATGGGAAGTTTCCTTTTCCAAGTATAGGACTCCATAGCAATGTGCATCAGAAACCTCATCGAAGATCGAGCCTAGGACTTTCGACCTTACTGAGTGCGAATAACTTTTAGACCATTGAGCTGCCATCCATTCACGACAGTGCGCAACCAACTTTCATTGTATGAAGTAGATAACTGTTTGACAATTGACATGACATACCAGTGTACACTGGTTCAATAATCTGAAGGTTAATCGCACATAGCAGAACAGAAGGTCTTTATTTCGATCCTTGGTGAGATCATAGATAGACACTGTAGATGGATCAATACAAGAATGAATCAGCTGACCAGTATCTTTGTGTTTTGATAGCTCTCTAACTAAAATATCTGATAATCTTCACAAACCCCCAGTAAAAATATTTAGAGTTTTTTTAAAATTAAATGACTAATTATCATGAGTCATTTGAAGCTAAACCACAATGGAAAGTCTGGAAGCACTGAACGGCCGTTTCGTCCTAGTATGGGACTCCTCAGCAGTGCGCATCCACAATCTCGCACCTTGCGAGACTCGAACCCAGGACCTATCAGTCTTACGCCAGGCGCTTAACCAACTAGACCACTGAGCCAGTGCTTCCAGGCTTTCCATGGTGGTCTAGCTTCAATTGACTCATAATTTCACACAGTGAAATGACTAATTGTTTTGTCTAGTTTGAAAACAAAGCAAATAATCTAAAACAATATTCAATTAACAATTTAAACTAGAAATAAACTACATAGTTATTTATCAAACATGTAGACACGTATTTGTTTTGATACCTGAAAAAAAAACAACATTATGACTTATTGGTTAATTAAAATCACTGGTTGAGTCTAGTCTAATTGTTTACTTAATTCATATGGATATAAACAAAACAAAACAAAAAAAGCATCGTATTAAATTGTAACAAATTATGAGTATTTATATAAAAGGTTTACAGACTTTGTGAAAGCTGATGTCATTTTGTTAGTTAAATGTTATTTAAGTTGTTTAATATTCATAAAGGAAGAAAACTGTATGACTGTACATATTTAAATTTGTGATTGATTAAGTTGATTCTTTATAGAGATTAAATTATTATAAAGTATCAAAAGATAAAGGTACTGCAATGAACAGAACACGAGTTGGGAACAATCGAATGTAATAAGCACAAAATTACAGGACTTGTCAATAAAATCTAACAATCATGAAGTAAATGCTTAATTTGCAAAATGTCCACCAATTGTCTCAAAATGACTCATACTTCATTATTCTTGCATTTTCGTACAAATTGCATCCTGTTTCCATTCTTTACTGTTTGATCCTCTTGTCTCTCTGCTGCCAGACTTTCTGTTAACGACTAACATCATATACTACTTATGTCAATATAAGTAGCACACACCACAATACTACTTAATAAACTGACTAGTTTTATATGACAGAGAAAAGTTTGTTTCTATAAAAATGAATAGATTTAATATCATTTAAAGTATTGTAAGAAATGTGCTTTATTAATTGTAAAATAACTTAAGAAATCAAGATATTTCTTATTTGAGTTATATAATACTAGCTGTTGAACTAGTAATATTGTTCCATATAATATTCAAAAAACAAATAAAAATGAAGTGCCTTAAATGATAAATAAAACTTATTTGATTGAATTCAACTGAAGTTTAGTAATATAAACTAAAAGAAGCTATAAGATTATTAGTTATAATTCAAATTGATAAGAACTTTTAGTTAGGTGAAATTATACAATTATTGCACAATACTGAAAAGGTGAATAATGAACTCAATAGTGTAGTATAATACTCAATGAATTTTAGAAAATTTTCTAACGAACTTCAATCTTGATGAAACATATATTTAAAATTATGAATGTGATATAGACGATGAATCAGATATTTGCTATTATGTACAAATTAGTTCATAGCAGATCAGTTAATATGGCCAGACACTATTAGCAACAACGTACTGTGGGAGAGAACAAACCAGATCTCAGCAGAGGAAGAAATAAGGAAGATGCACTGGAAGTGGATAGAACACACATTGAGGAAAGCACCCAGCTGCGTCACAAGGTAAGCTCTCACATGGAATCCTCAAGGCGAAAGGAAAAGAGGAAGACCAAAGAACACATTACGCCGTGAAATGGAGATAAACATGAGAAAAATGAACAAGAATTGGATGGAACTAGAAAAGAAGGCCCAAGACAGAGTGGGTTGGAGAATGCTGGTCAGCGGCCTATGCTCCATTGGGAGTAACAGGTGTAAGTAAGTAAGTAAGTAAGTAAGATCAGTTAATAAAGAAGTGTATTTATCCTATTTAAGTCAAATATGATCAATCGATGATTAGAAAATTTCAGTCTTCAAAATAAATGACATCAAAACATCTAAATACATTGAGATTGGGAATCTTAAAGTGCACTGCACTGACATGGAGTTTTTTAGAAGCTAAGCGCTCAAGTCTATCAACAAACACATTGAAATTGATCCAATTTGTCAACCGATCAGAAAAATTATGCACAAATATAGGAACAAAAATCAAACCAATGGGAGATAGAACCAAAACAAAGAAGTAAACAATGACAGGTTTAAGGTCAACAAGAACCAATCAATATCGAGGTCTACAGGACAAGCTGTGAACCATATGTGGAGAAATTCGAACACTTCATTTCTATCTGAAGTTTGTGCTGATGATGTCGTTCAGAAGAACGATGAAAGTTCCACGAGAAAACCATCCAGTTCATAGAACGAAATTTCATCGAAATCATCCACCTGAGCTGACAATCACCTTTGTTTACTGATGTCGAATATAATATCCATTGTTGTAAAACTAATAAAAACGTATGGAGATTTTTTGCTTATATCTATGCATCCCTATCAGATAGACAGTACAAAACAAAGAAATTGATTCTACTACGTTTTATAAATGAAAGTTAAATTCGTTAGGAATTGATAAGAAAAACAACAAAATCCCTAAAATTAATACTTTAATATTAATGTTAAGAGTGATTAATTATTCGAACAGTCTTATTTCCAAAATAATAACAACACTTTAATCTAACACTTGTTTCAAAAGAATATCTAATCAGGTTAATAATACATTAGTAAGAAATTTTGATTTCGTTCACTACAAAGTAATGAATATGATGGAACCAAAATCTTTGACATCTAAATTAAATGTATTAACCATTAAGAATTATATTTAGGATAGTTTGATTTCCATCAACATTTGATGTCATTTAATCTTTATCATTCATATTTACATTGACCTAAAAGTGGCTTATATTTTCGCATATATAAGTACAGTAAGCCAACAGTTTATTCATAGTTTAATACATATTAAAGTATTTTTCATAACTTAGTATTGATATTGATATTGATGATGTTCCATCATTTGAGGTGAATGAATGACTTTACTAGATTATGATATTTGATTATTTTTATTTCTATCGAATATACATGGAATAAAAATGAATTATTTCAATGGAAACTCTATGTTTAAGTGTTTGAATAAAACAAATAAACTTTAAATACTAGAATTAAGATGATAGATTAATGAATGAACTTAGTTGTAAGTAATCCTATCAAGTTTGAAACTCGATTTATTTCTTTTTAAATTATTTTATTTAGTGGATAAGACAAATTTTGGTTAACATTTTTTTAATTATCAAAATTTCAGTCAGTCAGTCAGTTACAACGTAAGATCAGGTACATATGTGCATCGATCTAAGTTGCCATACCTCATTAGCGCAACAAGATGAACACCGGATTCATAGAAGTAGTTAATTCAGTGGTGATAATATATAAAAGAAAGATTGCATATAAGGATATAATACAGGAAGAAAGAATTAGTTCATAGAAAGAAAAATATGAAGTGGTTTTAATCTCATAGTTTAAGGGAAGATAGAGAGTGTATACACCGACGCCATTGTGACCGATTCTGAGCCATGTCAACCAGAGTCTCCAATCATTGGTTGCGATAGTCACGCCGATTTCAATTAAGTAGTCTGCATCTACCAACATGGCTCAGACTAGAAGTTAGTGACTTCAATGACTGATGCCACGTTTTGGTTTGGCCGCCCCTAACTTTCTTCCAACCATCCCCTACACTAGTCAGCGTTGCACATCGTGGTAATCGGTGTTCAGGCATACATAACACGTGGTCCGACCATCTTAGTCGATGAAGATTCACAACCTCATCAGCTGATTTACCATCATCCCCTAATACTTTGCGTCTACCCTCACTATTACTTATCAGGTGATCCCAGCAGACGCCAGCAATATTTCTAAGACATCTGTGATCAAATACTGGTAGCTTACGAATACCTTCCACTCTTAATGGGCACGTTTTGCAGCCGTAAAGTAGAACAGAAAGAACTGCTGCGCAGTATACTCGTTCCTTGGTTGATAGATGGATATCTCGTCTTCGCCATAGGTGACGTAAGTTGGCAAAAGCCAGCAGATATAATAGTCAGTTAAGATAAGTATTTATTATATAAACAAACAAATGACATTGATAAACTGCTAACAAAAAAATGAAATCTTGATAAGAGCAAAACATGCACCAGACAAATCTGTATGCTACCGTTTGTTTGTATCCAATTGAAGAATATTTACTTCTGAATTTATAGGAAACATAAAAAAGGTCATAAAGATTTCTTTTTAATACATTAATTTGATGGAGAATACTGATGGGCCACTTATGCCCCTCCATAAGGAGTAACAGACAAGTAAGTAAGCAAGTACATCAGGTAATCTAAATAGAAATGTGGTAGTGATTTACATGTCCTTAAATTCAAATCTATTATTCTTATATCCATTGATAGATGTTAGATAATCTTTTATGTACAAAAATCAACGAACTTTAGCTTACCTGTTTTGTTAAAATGAGTGTAAAACTATTTCATACATTTTGAATAAGCAAAATGTTACTCTGTTTTTTTAGTTTTTCAATAATTTTATGATACGATATACATAAATAGACATATATTTCAAAAAAGCATTGACAAAAGTTTAGGAAACTTCCTTATTTATTATTTCTTTTAATAGAGAGCCAAATGTAATGAGATATTAAACCTATGATGAATTACATCTACAGTATTGTTTAAGATCAAGTAATATTGGTCAAAGTAATTTATTTGTTCAATATTATTATAAATGTAATCATACAAAGTATTATTTGTTACAATAGTTGAGATCATGAGTTAACTGAAACTAGACCATTATGGGAAACCTGGAAGCACTGGATGGTCGTCTCATCTTATTGTGGGACTCCTCAATAGTGCGCATCCACGACCTCGCCTCGTGAGATTCGAACCAAGGACCCATCAGTCTCGCTCACGAGCGCTTAACCATTAGACCACTGAGCCGGCTGTCATCCAACTGTTTAAATGTCTAACTTAAACTAATCCACAAATGACGTTTTCTTTTTTTAAGTACTCACAATGACTAGTCTCCAACCAAATGTCAACAATAAGAAACTCTACAGCCAATGTAATATCTAGTATGATTAAACAAAAGTTAAAAGTTAAACTGTAAATTAAAGTATAGAAAAATTGGCTACTAACACAAAAATTACTCATAAAAAGGTTGTGTGTGACCGACCTCAAGCAGTTGTCCGTTGGGCACTGCGGTCACGCTCTCAGGTCACTAAGACCACCTCTAATCCAATTTTCTTTTCAGGTACCTCCAGAAGAACCCTTCCACGGTGTGGGCAACCGGGAAGTGATAATTGCCCTCATACCTCTAACAGCACTCAAGACCACTTTGAAAATGTTCAAATAACTTTAACATGTTTTTACTTAATAAATGTTAAGAAGATCAATTTAAATAATATTAATTATAAGTCATCAATTAAATGAATTCTTACTTCACCATAATTTTCAATGATATCACTATGAAGTTTTTTCCCTTGTGATCCATTTATACCAAAACCATCTCGATCAGCTCCATATCCAAAACCAAAACAATCTATACCAAGATCTAATGATCCATTTTCAAATGACCAACCAATACGTGCTAATCCAGAGTCTTCAACAATTCTCACTTCATAGTAATAAGCTCTATCACCAAATATTCCCTATTAATTATATGAATACAATCCTTGTATTAATTAACATCCATACTACTTTTATGAGTTTAAATATGTTATAAAGTAAGTAAATTATGATTTATACGAATATTTGTCAAGATTAGAACGAATAGTTTGACAGAAATTGGGCGCCGAGTAAAGAGAAGTCATTATATGTGAAAATTACATTTGAAATAATCTCAGCGATTGAAATTTGAATAATTCCAACGTTTTGTCCATCTAACTTGTCTTTAATGATTTTGATTATTACCCTGAAGAAGTCCAGACAAGTTAGCTGGACGAAACGTTGGAATTATTCAAATTTCAATCACTGAGATTATTTCAAATATAATTTTCACATATAAAGTTATGATTTAGTTAGTAAGAGAAATTTTGAACTTTTGTATGATTTCTTTTCCCTGTAAAACTGGTTTTATACTGCATATTGTTAGTAGTTCGAAATAATCATCAATGAACTACAAGCGTTTGTTTCAACGTGTTAGAATTTAGTTAGGATAGGATTTTCGAACATTTGAAAAGGTTTTGTTTTCTTACAACTATGAACGTGTTTTGTTGATTATTACTGTTTAAAAAGCTATCAGTGAGTTAGAATAACATCAATAGATAGATTGTGGAAATGTATGTAATTTATTGCTAAGAATTCTTATCATCTATACAGATAAAAAAACATAATAATTATCCTTTCATAGTACTACAAAGTTTGAAATCCTCTTCAGTAATTCGTATTGTTATTAGCTAAGCCAACTTATTCCTTAGACTAGTAAAATGGAGCCAATATATATTCAAGTACTGTTAATCATGCATCTTTTAATTTGGATTATAATTGAAGTTTGCAGAAAAAAACAGAATGAACGTTAAGATCTTGATATGTTTCTTATGCTTAGCGATAACCACTCCCAAATAAATATTTGTTTTTTCAGATTACAACTTAACCGATAAAATTGAAGGATACAATATTGACCTTAATTTTATGCCATCCAACAACTGGGTTTCTGTCACTCTTTACGAATAGTTCAAAACTCAGCGTGTTTGTTTTTCTCTCCGATTCAACTCTTAAGCATTTTGGTCATTTAAAGAGAACACATTGGAGAGTAGAAATCAAAGCTATAATCTTGACATTATAGATACATCTATAGAGAAATCTAGACAGTTTTATAATACCCAATCTATTCCATGTCTAAGTGGAATTGTTATGAACTAGAAGTAAATTCAAACTAAGAAATCTGAATAGTGCATCTTTTAGCATCACCAATTATCTAATTGTGTTACGCCTCTAGAAGAAAGATTTCATGCTGAAGATTCGTTTTAAATATGCTGAGGTTCTGCTTTCAAACAGTTATAAATACGGAAAGTTAGCTTCATTCTTAACCGGTGGTAATTAATCTTATATCGGAATGGGTTCTGAATTAACAAAATGGTCTCACAAACGTAAGGTTATAGTAACTAAACTTATGAATGAATCAAAAATTTAAACCAACAGCATGTTTACTTTGTTCACTCTAAAGCCTTGCCATCCGGTATTTTCTACAGCTTGTACAAATCGACCATTAGGTGAAACTAATAAATTTGTACTTGATGTTACATCATTTGGGTTCACCCGCCAACCAACATTCCGATTACATACAATTGAAGAATCGGGGGCGTATGATACTGCTACCCAATGTTTATTAGTCGAAGGGGTAGTTTTAGGTGGAAAATTAAATGGCTTGTCACCAAAGTTTACTTCAACTCTGGCATTTTTAAGTGATACGGCTGTAAGAGAAATATTCAAAAGCGAACAAGATAATGATCTAAATTGTTAATGGTTAATAAGACTGTAAAATGTAACGTAAACCACCTCATAGCTGTCTAATAATATTTCCGTACCTATTCACCATCTAATTTAATGAAATAGAAGTTAAAAATCTGGAAAACACGTTTATACTATAGTAACGATTTTGAAGCAACTCTAGTGACCTGGCTGAGTTGGCTACTGAAAATTATATACTTGTGAATTGTTATTTGATTTTGTGCTCGACAAAAACGTCATATTTAAGTGCTGAATTAATTTCTCCCTAAAGAGAATTTACGAAAGATTACACCTGCTATAAACAAATATTAATTGCTTAGTCTACAATTAGTGTTTCCATAGGCCTTCTCAAATATTCAGATACACTATATTGAAGGTATTTCAAATCTGAATAAGAATGCTGATTATATTTTAAGCTATCGGAACATGATAGTGATATACGTTTGCTTAGTCAAGAAAAATGATCTGATATACTTAGCTAATATAAATAGGTTGAAATTTATTACATTCTAATAGTGTCAAGTTGCCATTAAAATTTAGTTATTCAATGAAATACAGCTGCCAAAAAATCTCTTTTTGACATTTCTTTTAGATGTTACAGTTTGCATCAAATTTTTGGCATGTGAATGAAGGAAAGTGTGGTCTACTGAAAAATGATAAAAATCGAAATATGAAAATGTCGATTTTAGTACTATTTGGAATTGAAAAATAAAAGTGTAATGCAATGTGTAGTTTATTGTGGCAGATCAAATTTGGCAAGACTCATCGTCATCAACAAACTGAAGCTATTAAAGAATAGATGGGATTTCAATAGAAGTAGAATTTAGGGCTCACATTTTGTTCCTGATGTACCTGGATCCGATAGTTGTTGAGCACTTGGCGAGTCCCAAATACAACGAAACATGTGTCCAGAATACCATTGCCAGTCACATTTCATCTATTCTACACTGACTTGTGTCATGATGGCGATATCTAGGCAATCCGCACATAGACCAACCAAGCCTGATCAAATTTAGCTAAAATATCAACAACGGGATAATCCAAACTATTTCAATTTGAATTTCAATACGTTCCTAATATCTTTAAATTACATTTAAGTCTATCAACCTAAATAGTAGTAATTTGTGCTTTATAACAGATGTGAGCCCACCAGTTTAATTGAGGATAGACTGATCTTGAAAAGAAGGAAAGCAGTCATAGATTATTTGTTTTGTCACACCATGACTATTTAGAAAAAATAACTACTATAGGTTTGACAAACATCTGTATATTCATTCAAGCATTAGTTTCTTTATGTGTTAACATTCTACATTTAGCTTTCATGAAATAAAGAGAAGATGGTTTACTGAACGATACAATAAATGACTTACCAGGGAAGAGTGCTATATCTGGAGTTAATGTTTCAACAAGTTTAAAGTTTGGAGTTTCTAATAATTGGCCATTGTAACTATAGTGTATATCGATTCGTCGATGATCTTTATCAGCACTCGGATTTAATTCTAAATAACATCCAACTACATCTCCTGGTACGATTGGCATTCCGTAATCAATTGAATTATTTGCGTAGATAAATTTGCCAACTGGATGAGGATTATCAGCTGATCCAATACCTTTACATAAAAAATTGAACGGATAAGAAGTATGGTAATATTGTTTGGTAGTATTAGTAGTATTATTTCACTTGTAAGATTTTAAATCTTCCTTTTGTTTATTCTAAGAACTGAATTTTGATCAATCACAAGTAACTTAAGTAAGAGTGGACAGTGGCTAGCACTGAATTCCAGGATGCTTGTCTTGTCTCGTTTGGGGACTTGTCAGCAAGATATACGGGCATCCGTGTGGATGTTTAGTCAGTGACTCAAACATATTACCTTCCGCTTCAACCTACCAACCCATCACCTAATAAGCTGCTCGTAAATTAATGACAATTTCGAGACATACTGTTCAGGATGTAGATATGTCAAAACAGATTAATCAATTGCAATCTTTAATATCAACAGCGGGAAAACTCAAAGACTCACTGAAGTTGAATTGTTGAAAAAATTTAGTTGATTACACTAAAATTTTGGGTCTTCCTCTCATAAAGGTAATATAGTTGATAAATAGAACACTGCAAATTTTATCAGTCATATAAGTTAGGATTTTTTTAGCGAGTTAGTTTTCTACGAGATGAAGTCGCGAACCGCATGCCCAACCCTCCTCCTTTATCCGGGCTTGTGACCGGCAGCAGCTCCAGAGGGGCTCTAGGTGGAGTTCATCAATCATATTACCTACAAAAAATTATTTATCTGTAGTTCCCTTTAATTTGAATCCAACTATCGTATAATATTTAGGAATGTCCGAAACTTAAAGTTTTCATTTAAAAGACGAAATGTAACTACTAAATAGTATGAGTTTAGTCAATTTATTTTATAAGTTCAATATTAGCACTTAAACTCATTTTAAACGGAATCGGATAATTTACTTGTCAAAGGTTTAAATTGGTCAAAATTTGTTACGACCAACTAAAATGAGGAAGCAGATTAACCTTTAAGTTTTACTTTATACATAGTTTTTTTTTGAAAAAAAACTATTAGAACAGAATTGACTAATCCTGAATAAAATTATTAATAATGAATTAGATTTGAATACAGGTTTATAGCTAATTACAGAGATGTTGCATGATTCTAATAAGGAACAATTACCATAGTAATGATCGTTTCTTATAAAATCTCCATTTATATGTTACCAATCAATCAAAAATTTTCAATGTTTCATGGTGAAGAAATGAACGATTTCTAGGGTAATCGTACATTTATTAAACAAACCTGTTTTATCAGCTCCATAACCAAAGCCTTTGGAATCTGTCCCGAGAATTAGGCTAGCATCATTTGTTGACCAACCTAAACGTACTTGACCTTCTTCAAGCATACATGTTTCGTAGTAATAAGCTCCTGGACCTTTTAAACCCCAATTTGTACGGCAACCCTAAATGTAAACAGTAATAGAAATCAGAGACAAGTCAATATGAAAGTCGATCAAATGAAAACCTTTCTGTCAATCACAAATACACCGACTTTAAAATAGATACATAATGTCTGTAGAATGATTTGACTTTGTAATCGGCTTACTGAATATAATGATTCTCAGACAATAGAATATACCCAAAATCTTTAACTTGATTTTACTATTTAATAATGTTATGTTATTTTTATCCTTATTAAACCTGCTACTCTCATAACTTATTTAAAAGGACTCATTGCTTCGGTAGCCAATTTTTGAGTACGCTTTTAAACTTTCAGTGAATTTTCTATTCTTGGTATTTAGGTGAAATATAAGCAATCACAATTATGTAAAGCATTTGAACGTACGACGGGTAATAAAATGCTTTAAAAAACGTTTCTCTGTGAAAACTTCATAAAATACAGATTATTAAAAGGCATTAAAGTAGGATTTAACAACAAATGAGATCACTGATTCTGAACATTTCAGTTAATTCATTGACCTGCTGAATTATATTGATGGTAACACTGATGACATCCCCAAATGAAAATGAGGGCAAACATAGTGGGTGAGATCAAAGAACAAAAATGTGTACGGTACAGAAAGGCAGTTATTAATTCCTCAATATCGGAAGAGCTTTCGTGATGATTTTATTAAATGTCACTTAAATTATGTTGGCTCTAACGCCTTTCCAAATCTGCCCCTATTCTAATCACCTTAGCACTTCAAAGTAAGGAGTGACCAGTCATAAATAACAAATGCATTCACTACGTCAATCGATAGGGTTTTACAACCTCATCAACGGATTGACCACATCGCTATGAAATTATGTGCTTAATCGCAGCTCTATTTAATAAGTGGTTCTGTCAAACAAGGATAGTGATTCGAAAATATTTATAACGAATTTCTTGCGACCTTCACACAACGTAGAGGTACAAGGGATAAATTCAATGTTAGTGACAAAATACAGAGTACACCTTTGAGTAATATGCTTTTCATTTGCTAATCAGGCAAGTATTTTAAATATGTCACAATTAAAGTATTAGGGTAAGGGGCAAATACGTTTTTCATAGTAACTGGTCAAGAATAGTGAGGCTCCTTAAAAGAGTGGTCATAAAATCCAATTACTTCAAATCCCGTTGTCATACTGGGTAGGGATTAGTTCTTAATCGTTTTTTTCATGTAGAGGGTAAAAATCCCGATTCATATATCTGTTCGCTGTCACTAATAAGTTTCGAACGACTTTGTATTGTGTTGACATCTTCTGCAAATCAAATTCTAAGTACTCCTTGTAAGTTTTAGAACGTATTTGTGATAGGATTCAATGGTAATAGGAGAAGTAGATAGCCCTAATGGATACCACTTGACAAAGCTAATTCACATGACACTTTCATGTAAGCCCCACTGAACTATTCGCATTTGAGTGAAAAACGATCTACAGAATGACGAACTGTCAAAAAACATCTCTGTGGGTAGACTCGAATAACGTTTTCATGTCAAAGAACACGACTACAGTAGGAATTCGGCAAACAAGTCCTTATTTAGAAATCACAGTTACATATAAAATACTTCTATGTTTCATGGATTCACTTCCTTTAAGTCACAACTAGAAGGCAGTTAATTAGGACAGCTAGAATTTTAAAGACGGTATCAATCAAGCTGATGCTTCTGAGGTGATCAAGAGGTGGTCTCATACTAGATTAAAATATAACTAGTCAGTGTGGAGAGCAGTTGAATAGACCTATGTTAGATGTCAAAAAATAATTAATACCTCTGTCAGTTCATCTAGTGATCTTAGAACATTAGTATTAGAGGCCACTGGAGCTAAATCATTGTAGTTCTTAGATTTTTATTACTTTGAGTCAATAGTTGTCTTTTTTAATTTAGCAAAGTGGTGAGGACCCAATATCAATCCCATTGCTGGCTTTCTATGTTGATAATCGACTACAGGGTAGCTGATGGACATCAAATATATCATTTGCATATCTTCTCTGAATTGTCTCTTACAAGCTTCATTGTTCCTTCATTCCCGTTGTTATACTGATTGCTTTCAGCTTCTTTCTCTTCTCTTCGTGTCAATCTTCTCAACGTTCTACTCGCAGAAATTCCATTTCCGACTGGTGTCACATACTACTTATATCTTCAAACATAAGTAGCATAGACCACAGCTAACATGGAAGTCTGTCCGATTGTTGCAGTTTCAATCTCCCACAACTTTCCATAGCACTAAGTAAACACTCTGGACTTTACAACCAAGTTGCCTGTAGTTCTTTACACTAAGGGAACTCGGAAGTGGGCTACAGAGCCTTTGTTAGTTTCGGAGAAGCTTTAAATTTTCATTTCTAAATGTTACTCAGGCGTAATTAATGTATCTATAATACATTGGAAACCCAGCTAATCTTTCTCAATAATAAATCCATCTTCTTGATAACTCCTTATTTCATTCTTTAGCACATTCTTGAAGTGCCCATTTCGGAGCTGGATCTGAAGATGTCTTCTCTTTTAGTTTTTCTAGATTCGCTAAGACAGTAGAGCAGAACTTCCGTATTTTATGAGTGAAACCTAGTAAAATTGGAAAATGAATACTCCAAGCAGGTTGTGGTATACATATATCAGTCTCTGAGTTCCTACAGTTTCGTGGATCCGTAGTGCACATTGGTGACTGGTCAGGCTCATTACATATTTCCTAATAAATGTCTGAGGAATTTAAAATCCCTTATTCAGTTGTATGCATATTCACTGGTTGATTACTGTAGTTAAACTCCGTCACAGTTAAAAGTAGAGGGTGCTACGCTTTGAGTCTGTAATCAATAGAATCATAAGTAGATCAAAATAGTCAGTTAAATTTGATTCACTTGAAATGATTCACTCTTCTTTATTTAAATACCTGTATTAATTCAACCATATAAAGGGATTGTGATGAAATTTCTCCGAATAACAGAATTAAAGGGACTATCGTACATATACAGTCTCAAAATTCCATTTTCCTTAAACGACAAAAAATGGTGGTTTATATGCAGCAAATAATCCAAGATGGCTAGGTGCCTGACAATCTGACACTCGATTTTATGACTCTATACCAAAGGAGAGTATAAAAGTGAGTAATTCAAGGATAAACATATTACAAGATGACTTACTTGCCATTCTGTTTCTGGCATTGCTGCTATGTCTGTTCCATCAATATTTCTTCCTAATCCTTGTGTACAATCAGCTGCTGACATTTGCCAGTGATCTTCTGGTAAAGGTACTCGAATTGGACCTGGTTTACGGTAAGATGGTGGTAAATTTTGCAAAACATCAACATTTACTGAATTAGCTGGTAAAGGAGAAGGTGTCCCAGGCATCAAATAATACTGATCAGGTTCTTCTCCATAAGCAACTGGTGCAACACTACCAGATACTAGTAATAAAATAGAAACGGGTTGAGAAAATCATTTTTCTCCCACAATTGATTATTTTATGTAAAAAGATTCTAGTAGATTATTGAAAAATGAAAAGCAGGAGTGGTTACCCTGTACTTATTTAAACTTTGTCAGAAACTACTGAGTGTAACTTATACTAAAAACATAAATTAGTGAACCTAGAGATAAATGTACTTGTCATATACCAGTATGTGTATGAAGAATAGCGCTATAAGCTCATGATACTACACATGATCTTATCTCAGAGAGCCGAGAAACGATAAGCAAGTGGTCACAAAACACACAGATTAAACAAATACACTGATTCCAAGAAGATAACTATCTCAAACCAATTGTTCGGTAACCCAAATATATAAATAGAGTCATTATAAAATTTAATAAATTTTTATTCGAACAAATTGTAAATACATACGCAAACTGTGACAAAGGTTGTAAAATCTAAGACTCAATAATAATCTTGTCGTCATGAAGGTAAAAACAGTAAAAGATCTCGAAAATGGTTACCGGTTAGTTCATTATGCAGAAATACCACAAATTTGTTTTAGAAAGAATGGCCACCACTAAACCGTAACCTAAATAGTCTTTTAGTCGAGGATCCAAACTTTACACTAATATACAGAGATGAAATGAATACTATAAGTTCAGTAAAGTGCAGGCAAATACGAGCTCGCACTACAACTTGATAAGACTTTACGTATATATTCCAGAAGACACTACAGTCTTCAATAGAACCTATCCAGATTTTACAGCATTATTATTACTATTGGCTTTATTCAATATTATATTTTGGTACAATATAGAATTCTCAGAACAGGGTATTTCAACAAGTTTCTTACACAAAAAAAAACAAAAAACAGAAACAAAGACAAAAAAGCAGAAAAAGGTTTAAAAAAATCCGAAAAACTGTGTAACTTTCCAAATTCAAGACATGTTAAGAGTGCAGGTTATTGACTAGGTTAACTCGAACAACTTGTTCGTCACAGAGTATATTTGCTAGGTAAGGTATTATAGAACTTTTATACTTTTGCTTGCGTGCATGGATTTTAATGTAATTACGCATCGTTCGACCAGAAGATATACAAGGAGAAAGATAAGAGTGAATGGGATGACTAGTATCTGATTAAATAACATCTGCCAGGAGTTTGCATGACTTTAGATGTGTATCCACAACCATATTAATTATGATCTCGAAAGATTCACCACACATCTTGCTAACTGCCTTCAGCACTTTCCGCAATACAACAAACTCTTTTCTCAAAAGCCCGGGAAAGAATAATGGAGAACAGTAAAGAATAATAGGTAATATGCAAGAATTGACAAATTGTAAGTGCGAATGACGAGTAATCCCAAGAGCATGCAATCTCTTTATGTAGTAAGTCAGACGGAAAACTTTCTTCCATAACAATAAAACGTGGGAAGACCAAGACAGATCAGAGGAAAAAGTAAGACCAAGATAGTTGACATTCGATACTGTGTTCATCAAACAGTCTTCAATGGCAAAAGCATTATGGGATCTCAAAATAGTGTTTAGATTCCGTTCATGTCTCATGTTAAAGTTAACAGCTTGACATTTGGACGGATTAAGTATAAAACCATTACCAAACAGACCAACAATCAATACGAGACAAAAACCCATTCATTTCTATGGGATGTAAAGAGGAAGAGATAGGCATACATACAGTGAGATCATCCGCATATTTCACAAAAGTGTTTTCTGTGGAAGATGGCAGATCATGCAGAAAAAAAGAGAAAAGAAGAGGTGGAAGAACAGCTCCTTGTGGTACACCTTCATGAGACAGTAGAGACTCTGAACACTTTCCTCCAAACACAGTGTACTGTTCCCTTCCAGAGAGGTAGGAACATAGCCAGTTGGTTATCTAGCTGTCAGTTTTGACGCTGATTAACTTGTTAATTAAACTTTGTCTTGGTATAGAATCAAAAGCTGAAGTATAGTCCAGAAAGGCGCATCGAACATACTTCTTACCCTTTCCCAAGCTGAATACTGTATTGTGATGCAGAACAGCAACAGCATCTAAAGTGCTTCTTTTGCATCTGTAGGCAAACTGATATGCTCTTTTACCGCAGGCTGAAGTGGAAGTATTAATAATTTTTCTATTGTTTTGAGGAAGGGTGAAGTTATTGCAATAGGTCTACATTTCACATTCTTATCACCAGATATTTTCTTGGGTACAGGGATTATCTTCATCTTTCTCCACATTTTCGGTATGGGATTATATGAGAAGGATCGGTTAAAGATAGTCGTGAATGGATAACGTAGGACGTCAGCACATTTTTTAAAAAGGAGGTTTGGGATATTATCAGATCCTAAACATCGGAGACATCTTCGGACGAGTTATATTAAATAAGTTATGAAAGATGACAAAAACTTGTGATTAAAATGAAGAACTTTTAACAAAAAAACGAATTAAAAAAAACGAAAATAATGTCAGAACGCAAAAACGCAAATAATAGGCTAATAATTAATAAAAGTAAAGATACGCTATATAGAAATCTACAGAAATTTATTATTCTTAACATGCAAAAGAAAATTTTAGATTATCACTATAGGGTTGTGGAGATTGTTGAGTTTTAATTGAGATCATGAAATAATCAATTTTAGATCACCACTAGAAACTTGGAAGCACTAGACAACCGTCTCATCCTAGTATGGGACTCATCAGCAGCTCGCACACACGATCCTGCACACGGGACTCAAACCTAGGATCTTCGTTTTTGCACGAAAGTTAAACCTCTAGACAAATGAGTTGACATTCAACGGTGTTAATGTATAACTTCGACGAGTCCACAACATTGCGCCACCATCCTCCATTGTCTTCGGCGAGTATCTGGCTCATACCTGATGGTCGCACAATATCATGGATTAGTTGAAATTAGACATTAACACCATAGGATGCCGGCGCACTGGTCAGAAGTTTGGGCGTCCGCGTCCGAGACTGAAGGTCCTAGGTTCGACTCTAGTATGGGGATCGTCCGTGCGCGCTACTAAGGAGTTCCATACTAGGACGAAAAGACCGGTCAATGCATCCAAGTTTCTGATGGTGATCTAACATTGACCGGTTCATGATCTTAATCTTAGATTATATTAAATGTAAAAGTTCGCACAATAAAATATGAAAATCGATAACGTAATACATAGGGATAACAAGTAGATGAAGAAGTCAGTATTAGTAATCTGTTTAGTACAGCAATCTGAAATACAGAAAACTAAAATATTTATTACTGTTTAGTGACCTTAAACTATCTTTCTAGCAAAATCATAAGTAAGATCATAAAAAAATTGGAAAATGTGGGACATATGTAGTATTCATATTTAATAATCTCACAAAGATATTAAGCTCACTTTCCATTGATTATAATTATTTAACGAAAAGATAAATATGTACATCGACTGACTGAACTGAATAATTTTTTTGTAACCAAAGCAGTTCAAAGAATAATTGTTTCTTTCATATACACTTGCTATGTGAATGAATTGCGTAAATACATTGAATTCTTAATTTTAATCACTATCATCCTTTTTTCTAGAATCACATTTGAAAGTATTTTCAATAAAGAGATTAATATCTGACTATTACCTACATAATTTTTGTATTGTAAATTTCATACTCATATCCCAAACAAGAATTTTGAAAATAAATACGTGTATTTTACTCTAAGTATGAGAGCTTTTGACCAATCACTATATAACTAATTTAAAACACAAATTTCTATACATAAGTATGAAATGAAAGTTAATTTTTGAGTCGTTAGAATTTAAAACAAATTCATCGTAATTAATTCAATCCTGAGAGTAATAAAAAAACTATGGAAAGGTGTTTGAGAATCCTAGAAAGAATATACGATAATTAACTATTTAGGTATTTTTAACCAATGATGGTAACATTTAAAATGTACTCCAACTACAGTGGATTTGAACCGATGTTACTCTTTAATCATAGTGTCCAACACATAACGTATTTATTTTATTCTAATGAGGATAAGTAAGTATATATCTTGAAGAATGTTCAATATATAAGGAAGTGAATAAAGTTGTCAAATTAGTGCTGACTCCTTACAGAGTTAACTCCGTCTGAAGTCCCTCCGGGGGCTACTGCCGATCCCAAGCACGGACCAAAGAGGAGGGTTGGGCATAGGGTTAACAACCCCATCCCGTAGAAAACTAACTCGCTGAAAAAACGCTAACCAAAAAAAATTATTTAAACTTTGCAGAGTTAAGTAATAATTTAATCGAATATCCTTCAACCGTTAATAAAGGTTGAATAGGACTTTGGTCACTTAACATTGAGTTCATCTTATGTTGGATTATATGATCAACTTACTTAACCTGGAAAACTAAGAAATTGAACAACTACTTAATTATAAACCAGGACCTTTTTGTACGTTCCACCCGATATCTCACTCCAAGGATCAAATTCAAGATATTAATGCCTCGTTGTGACCATAAGACAATCAAACCATTGAGTTTTGATATAATGATTCACATTTGTAACGTGAGCCAGTTGTCTATGTTAAGCAACTATTATTCAATAGCGCACTGATATTCCTTGTATGGTTAGCTTTCATCAGTCATACTTTCTTACACAAACTTGAAGAATTTTTCTCAGAGCTATCCACTAATGGGCAATGAATTCTTAAAGATTCATTTATGTGTAACTAAAATTGCTGAATGAAAACTGACTTAAAGTTTAATAACTTTCACAAATCCATGTAGTGGAAATGTCATTAGTAATGTTCTTAGAAATGAATACGCAACAGAGTTGGTATTTAGTATAAAAAACAGTTTCATATCAAAGTACTAATGTTAGTTAAATATATGAAATTAGATGTCATTTGAGTAGTTTTTTATATCGGTAAATCATTTATAATTATCGGTTAACTAAAAACTAATTACACACAAATAGTGTAAGCATGTTAAGCGTAAACCATTAAGTTAAAGGTAATATCGATTAGGATTGTTAGAACTGTTAACTACAAATTTAGTGTTAATAGAAATAATTATTCTTTGAAAGTCTAGAATATGTATATTCTAACTTGACCTACCTTGATGTTGTTGTTTTGATGGACTAGCTGAAGGAGATTCTGCTTTTGAGATTTAATAAAATATATACTATTATAGTATCTGATCATTAAAGATCATTGATTTATTATAACTGATTATACAGTGAAAAATTTCAGTTAAATCGAGTAAACTGTTTGGATGTTATAGACTAAAGATACTAAAATTAACAAGAAAACATTGTCCAGTTCTTTGTACTTTCTAAAATATATCTTCTCAATATTAAATCGGTTATGAAAATTAGTTATAAATAAATAAGGTTTTATTAAATTGATTATTAAAGTAACAAATGATTCATAATTTGTCCTATTTCCATCAGAAGAACATGAACTGTATTGTTTACATTAATCTTATTGATTAACGTTTGTCATTCTTCTATTTAACTGATTTTTTCTGGTCTAAAATTAAATGTAGTAAATGAGGTATGATAATTGGTTTGATAGTCAACAATTTCAGTGACTCTTCTAATGATAACGCGATATCGAGGTCGTACTTCGTTAATATATTTGAGAGCAAGAAATACATTTTATTTGAAGTTCAAACCAAACTCAGGGAACTATTAAATTCTAATTATCAATCTTCTGATGTTCAAAACCCGCTTATGATAGTTTCAATTTCACTTGATAACGTATTATAGCTTGAAATAGTGATAGACGTTGATATGAATAAAAATGTAAAACGTTTGTCTTTGAATACGATAAATAATGAGGAACAGACAAGATGACTTGAGTGAACCACTAAAATAAATTGATAAAGTAATTTAAAAGATTAATAAATAAATTACATCGATTGCAAAAGGTATTCCTGATTAATACAATTAAGACACTGAACAAAAAGCGTCTGTAGAATATTTCACTTACTGTACTGAATCGGCTTTCTTTGAGTTTGTACTCGCTTAATTGGAGGCTGTTGTCGTGGAATCCATTCTGAACTAGGTTCTCTTGAATATGCATCGAATGATTTACTTGTAAAATGATATTTTCGCGTACTAAAAGCTGTTGTAAGATTAGATCTTTGGGGTCCTGGTGTATCACGTAAACTAATCATCCATAGTAAAATAAATTAAGCCAAAGTTTAAAAGGTTATGATTGGTTTATGCCTAACATACCACGACATAATAAAAAGATAATTTGAAAATTTTTCTATAATGAATTCACAGAAAACACTAATAATTCATTGTTTGTTAATTATTTATTGGAATCGTGTACATATTCATCCTATTTTTCACTGGAAATGGGAGTTGTCTACATTTACAAATATTACTCAGTTATTTGTTTTAAAATTTTAGGGATCAATAACAAAAGGGTCGGTACTCACTAATCTAACCCATCAAATAATTGCTTGTAACTTAACTGACTGAATCTACTGAGAAAATTTATTGAATGTACCAGTTTTTGAGACATAACTCGCGTCTCAAACCGCAGTGAATTCTAACAAAGATTAAATTTGATGGTAGATAAGGGGACCTACGTGTAATCAGGCTTCACACCGCTTATGGTAATGTCAGAAGCTGGCTGAATACTGAAATCTATCTATTCTAACAAAAAACTACAGTTATTTATCATGTTCATCAATGTGCATTAAAAGGCGAGTAACAGCTCATATTTATGCATCTAACATAATATATGTTCATTTGAAGAAGATATAAATGACAAAACAGTAACTTTAATTAAAATTTACCTGGTGGATTATATTTTACATAATCGGTTAACTAGGATTGTTAACTTATTTATGGAGATCAAATAATAGCTAATGTCACATTCGAACGAAGAATAAATGAATGGTAACTGCTAGGGATTGTTTATGAACTATTATTACATACATTCCTATTGGATAACTTTTAAGTAACTATATTATATATATATTCGTATTCCTTCTATCATAAGCTTTCTTTGACCTATTGGCTATTATTATACGATTTACTATTCTTAAGTTATTCCTAATCTATTAGTTAGAGTGTCTCACACTCAGACACTTTCGGCTTGATCTTGTATAATTTTTATAGGTTGTTGTGGTCTCGTTTGCTTGCATATAAACTACGTATGTTTGAAATATATTATTCATACAATGGAGGCTGGGATGGTGCTCTAGACTAGGCAAGAAGAAAGAATCAGAGTTGATGCAAGGCTGTTATTGTTGGTCGACGTGCCATTGGTTTAGCACAAAAACAAGGTCATGTAAGTCAGTATTCCGATTGGCGATTTTGTCACGTGATAATTGACAGGGGCACAAAGCATTAACAACTAACATATTAACATGTTGGAAAGAAATCGTAAGGTGAGTCAAGTTGTTGCATCAGTCCATAAGGTCATGCGGTATAATTTTGAATTAAATGAAGATGAAGGGATATTTTTGTTCGAATCTAAGGTACAGTTGTAATCAGTATAGACATGACTTAAAATCGATTACAGTGACGAAAATTTGTGAGTTCTTTATTTTCCATTATGTATTATGCATTGCTTCACAATATTTACTTTTCAGCTTCACTGTTATTTTCAAACTGTTTTTTCTACCTAATATCTTAAGTATGATTAGCAATGCTATTATTTCAGTTGCTTTGTTATAATTTTTCTTAATGTCTCGCCGTGTTGTTGTGGCATAGTAACTTGATTTGATGCACATCAGTTTCAGGTCTTATGGATATCTAATTTGTTACTTTATTAGCTTTTTGAAAAAAGAATAATACACCATATGTTTTGGAGAACTTTCGACTTATTTACTAGTTAGGAATTCTATGTTACATGGAGCTGTTTTTTCTTTTATGATCTTTGTTCCCCATACGATTGGCTCTTTTCCAATAAAACACTTTTTAAAGTATGTGAATTACCTGGGAACACAGACTTCAATTTGTTCTGTTTAAATTACATTATAAGCAAATAGTGCCTATGGGACGTTCCACTATGTTATGAATGGTCTTAATCGCAATCTTCCTGAATATCAAACTATCAACTTTAAATTTAACCTTAAAAAGGTGATCATAGCTTGATGGAGTCAAACGTCTCCATAATTCATATTTTCTTTTAAAAGCATAACATATCATATTTATTTTGGTGTACATTTTCATAAGATCTCACTTAGTCTTAGTACGTTTTGTTAATAACTCATCATTCGAAAAGGCTCTAATCTTGGTTTTACCTAAAATTTACTTTTTATACTTTAATAATTCTAAATGAATGCAAATGCTTCTTTATCATTCCGTATCATTTTTTATCATATCCTTAGAAATAAAACTATACTATTTAGCGTAGAATACTGAGGAATAGTGGTGAAATTTACAGATGAGTATAGTTGTGAATAAACATTTGAAACCTTATTTATAACAACCCTATGTGATTTATTCCAATAAACGTCATTTGACTGATTCGCAAGGTTCTTTTCATTTATTCTTCGGTAAGACTAATCATAGTTTTACTACAGTCTACGCATAGTAGAGAAATACAAGAGTCCCACAATACATTACGTATAGGAAACAATGAACACTTCAAAAGTCAGACTTGACACCAAAACTTTTGGGATTACATGTAAAACGTGTATGATAACTGTTATATCTACTATTTAATTTTTTTTCAAATTGTATGTCAAGACTTGTCCATTGAATGGAAATATTCAATAGCTAATAAAAATACAAAATTTTTTATTTCAACTAACATGATGGGATATATGTCAGATCAAAATAACCAGACCACAATAATAATAATCGCTTATGCAGTTTGTCAAAGTTTTCATTTTATTTTACTCATTTTCAAATTACAAAAAACCATGTATATTTCCGACTAACTTGCAACTACTAGAGTTAACAATTATCTTTATTTGAGATTATGAACCAATCAATGTTAGATCACCATTGGAAACTTGAAAGCATTGGACGGTCGTTTCGTCCTAGTATAGGATTTATCACTAATGCATATCCACGATACCCCATGAGTGACTCAAACCCATGACCTCTGATCTCGCGTGCGGATGCTTAACCTCCCGACCACTGCGACGGCATCCAACGGGTTAAAGCTCCGCGTGAGGATCGCGGATGCGCACTGCCGAGTAGTCCCATCTGGGACGAAACGGTCGTCCAATGCTTCCAAGTTTCCGATGGTTGTGTAGTGTCAGCTACCATGTTAAGCCCACATAACGTATTCTAGCTTCCAGGCAAGCCAATTTATTCATCCTTCTTGAGTCACATTTTGACATTGTTAATTGCTCGATTATCAACCTTGACTGTTTTTATATGAGCGTATGTGTGTGTACTTCTTATCCTATTCATCACACGTTTGTAACTTATTTTTATCTGACTATAGATATCGATTAACGCTTGGTTAAATAAGGTTGGCTCACTCGCCTTCTCCATTGCGCACCGTTTTGTTTTACTTCGCTTTCTGACCAAAAATCCATTCTCGTATTTGACCTATCTAATTACATTATACACTAACGCGGGTTAAGTCAATAATTATATACGAGGATTGGTAACATGTATATTTCAATAAAAATCAACATACGATCTAACTAGAGTCAGATATCGGGCCACTAAAGTGGTCTAACATTGATCGGTTCATAATCTCAATTAAAACTCAACAATCTCCACAACCCTATACTGTTAACAATTATCCGTTCGATTAAATACTGACGAACTGTTTAGTTTCATTAAATTGTGATTATAAATAGTGAGTATTTTATTGAGTCTTTTAATAAGAAAACCTATCTAGTACTCAAAATAATCATCTCAGTTGAATAACTATTGTGATTTGGTTATTTGAGAAAAACATTAAAAGGATAAATAAAAATGTGTTGTAAATTAATCTACTAAAGATGATTGGTTGAGAAACTGAAATTTACGGCTAATTACATTTGATCAATAAATTTTTTTAATAAAAAAAATGACTTATTGTCTCGCCTACGCCCTTAAGTTTACTTGATATTGTTGATTAAAGTAATTTATCCCTTAGGATGATGTAATAACTATCCATTTACCTAAATCATGGTTGGTTTCGGTGTTTATTTGGTGCATAATGTGTTCTCTCCTAAGCAAGGGCCCTAAAACCGTTTTACCAATTCTGATTAAAGTGATTATTAACATAATAATGTATATATAAATGTATAATGAGTATGAGTAAGAAAACATCCTAATAAGACAACATTTAAATTTTTACATACCGGAAAAATGCATGTTGCGAAGTACAAGAATCCCATAATCTTTTGGCCAAACGGGGATCTGTACACTGAAAAGTCAGTGTTACATCATGAATGGACTCAGAACCATTGAACTTTTTATCAGATACTTTCAAACCACCAGGTGATAATGTTCTTCTTAGAGTTCCACGTTTACTCAAAGTTTCACTATGCATTGATCTAACGACAATAATGAAATTTTTTGATTTGTACAATATTTTTACAATTTGAGGCCACAAAAACCGATTAACCCTTAACATCCCATGATAAAGTAATATTCCACCATGATATACACCTAAGCATATACTTTCGCCCGCAATCGTCTGTAAAATAGGTGAAGAATATTAAAAATCGCTAATATAACTTCTATCATCATGAGTTTTCTATCGAAATGTAAAAAAACTGGATATATTTTGTGCTTAGTTTTAAATAGAATGTACCAAGTGACATAACTTTTTACCTATGGTTAAACCCTAAATTTCTTAATGAAATTATTTTCCTGTCACTTCAGTTGCCATGACAACAATGTTTAATGACAACAACAATACGAGAAGGGATTAGATAGAGATAAGACTAACCTTGTACTCATTAAATCCTATTTTTTGACAAATAAGTAATACAACAAGACTATTTAACTGCAATTTCTTTCATCAATAGTAAATTGGCAGTCTGAGTAATTAAAATACACAACTAATGCAAGAATGAAATATGAAATCATTTCTTCGTATCACTTCTCAATAAAACAAGGAAATAAAACTTGTCATAATACTTGCAACATGTAAGTAGTTATTTACTGTATGATCTAAATGAAAAGTAAAAACAGAAAGTATTGTTTAGCATTATCGTCTTGATTATAGAACGCTGTGAAAAGTTCCGACGGAAGACGAAACAGACACTCCACATACCACAAACAGTGTTTTATGAAGTTATCATCGTTTAATTAAAATTTGGTACTATCGGCAAAATAAATAACAGAGTTACATAAGGTTACCAACCAATAAATGAAAAGGAAAGCAATTAGTAAACTGGTTATTAAAATATAAACAGAAATATGTTTATGATCAGTAAGTTACAATGACTTAAAATATGGTATCGTAGTAACTAATAAAACCAATCTCTATCGTAGACTGTAGTAGTCAAAGTGCATTTTACATGTAAATTTACAACTTTAAAATTAGAATTTGAAAGAATAGTTCAGTTATTTTCATATTGTTACGATAATTTTTTGACAAATGCAAAATCAAGACTGCTAGTTATAACTGCTTTTTTAAAGGAATTTCATCAGATATTCAGTTTCATTAACTGATTGCCTACTTCAGTAGCAATATATTGTGTTGTTTAGCATGATCATTGATAAGGAAAATATATGAGAATTGTTTATCAATGAGTGAACACTGTGAAGCTACAAAATATGTAATATTTTCATTATTTACTGGGTGAAAAATCGAATGGTCAACAGAATTAGATCTAATAATCGGTATTTGGTAATTCATATCGTCACTTGAGACACTAAAGACTAATGCTATAAAGACTTATTCATGTGGCTTTCACTATTACTCGTTACCAGCATATTTGCTTGGAAATAAGAAGTCGAGTCCATGAAAGTGAAACGATGACAAATATTACTAGACGATCATAGTGAAATAAACTAAATTTCTATAAGATGAAGTTACATAGCATAAGCCTTAACATAAGAGTTAGATATAAGTGTATGGGGTGTTAGAATTTCTTGAGCTGTTTGGAAAAAGAAAAATACTTACAACTTTTCAGATCATGATAAGTAACCAGGAAAGTGGACAAGTACACTTAGCAAATCTAAATATTAACTGTATGACAATGTAGTACAAACATAATGAATAATGTTCTTACCTTCATGGTTGTAAAAATAATGATAGGAGTAAAATGCTAGACTTACTTTTGCCCTGTGAAACTCAACTCCATAAAGTGAAAGTCGTCTGGCATTTTCCAAAAATCCTCGATCAGCCTGAACTAAACTTTGTCCTCTATAAATCATAGAATATATTGAAATAAATATATTCATTCTCTAATTTTGTTATTGTTGGGTTTAATAAATTGTGCTAAACAAAATTATTTATGTAAATGCCTATTATAATCCGTCGCATTAGTAAAAATATGAGTTAAATAATTCGACTCAAAAAATCATATATGTTAATGTTTATCACTACTATAGTGATATATGCTACCGATGTTGACAGATATAACTAGTGTGTATCATCAATTGAAAGTGAAGTGCATGGAGGTTCAAAAGATCGAAGAAACGCGAACGAGAACAGAGAATGATTGGTGTGGAAACGAAAGAAAAATGAAGTCTGAGATGACTGATTGACATTTTACAAATGAATCATTTACTGTATGGTTCACAGATTTTACTGAGAGATTCTATAATTTTGTATTCAAATACATTCGACTGTCCTCACTTATGTTCTCGTTCACTATACTATGTTTAAGAATTGTTAACATAATTCGTTCATCTTGGGTGTGAATTACACACAGAAAGATGTACAAAGCTATTAGAGATAGCATCACATAGATATTCATAATTTTAAATCGTAATAATATTTTTGAATATTTTATTTAAAAATAAACCATTTTCTCCAGTTGACTTCTGGTAAATTACATCTTCAAAAACCTAACTACTTATACATGATGGAGAATAAATCAAATTAAGCAATTAGTTGGTATAAGTAGATTAATCATCTCCTATTCCACAACTATTCAATAACAACAAAGTTGATACTTGTATCCTTTTCTTGATCTACAAATGATTTTATCATATCATTTGTCACCACAAATTCCGTCTAATGTAGTCTTTTAAGTTTCAATATGAACTTTCTCTCAATAATTAACTGTTGTTTTTTTTAATCCAATGAAACAAAAACCAATCACTTCGACTACTAGTTAAGGACGTTAGCAATGTCTAGTATGTTTGATTAGTAAGTTTATTTAAACCTGCTAATTACTAAGCTTTACTAATATTTAACCATAAACTAGAACATTATAACTATTAGTTTATGAATTAACCATATCAATGAATCTAATGTTCATTACAGATTCCAACATCTATTTAATTAGTAATTTAAAAAAGATCATTTATCATTTATGTTTTTAAATTCAAGCAAAATAAGGTATAACTTTGTTTCCTAGTTAAAAATTTTCTCAAATTAATACGCCCTTAAGATTTCTGGCAACTTTTTGTTGTTGTTGACATTTTCAGTTGTTTTCTATTTGTCTGTCTTAATTTTAGGTAATAATGCTTCATTTATGATATGGTGAGTTGTTTATTTATCAATTATTGTAAATGAATTGTATTGCTCTATTTGTGGGATGAATAAATTTTTAATAAAGTGGAATGAAGAAAAAAAATAAAAGGTTTTATGTAAATCAATATCTGCTTCCTAAAGATAAAGACTTCATTTCTATTAGACTTTTGAAGAAAAAAGTATTAACAGACCGGGATACTCAAAAATGAAGAATATTTAAGTGAATAATTGTTTTCAATAATTTCATCATCAAGTTCTACAGTTATAAGTTCATAATGATGACATTTTATAAAGGCCAAAAATAAGCCATGTATCAATGAATTTGACAATGTTCTGTGTTGAAAATGGTGAACGTTTGCATCTGTTACGATATATATATACTTCAAAATAGTGTTATTTGCAAATTAGAAAAATCATTTAATTAAGGTCAGAATGATTTGGAGTAAAGTGTCCAGTCACTATCAGTAGAATAGTAATATAGCAAAATGGAAAATGCAAAAAAAATTGTGTGAATAAAATGTATAGTAGGAGAATTTCATCTTGCCAATTGAGATAATAATGATAATAGCAACAGTAATAATAATAATAATATTGTTCTTTGAATATAATATGGAGTAAGAGGGGTGTTATCAAGATATTTACGATGAACAAAAACGGGAACCATGTGAATTCGGAATGATGAATGTGCAGATTAAGGTAGATGTAATCAAAAAAAGGAAAGCGGTAATAGGTTTATAATATTCAGTTTAGGTATCCAGTGATTTAGACGTAGGCCAAGGTAAACATAGAAACTGGATATACCTTTTCTGGATACATAAGTTTGGTTTTCTGAAGTTGATTTGGATGGCTTCGTCTATGTAGTGTAATCGTAATCTAGCTCCTTGAGGTAGATATTTTGTAAATTGATATAAGACAGAGAAAGCTTCATCTATTTTGATAGGATGTTTTCTATCTACCATGTAAGAAAGATAGTGCTGCTGGTTGATTTAATGACTCATTTTCCCAACCATGCTGGTACATGTTCACGAACACTCAAGGACAAAGCCCTCTAAGCACGGCCAATGTAACTACCTTCACAGGAGCAGCTGAATTGGTATACATACATAGAGGAGCCTATCATCGGTAACCTATCCTTGATTTGTTGTGTGACTACTGGTTTAGTTGAGAAAGTTATATGTAGCTTGGCGGCGTGAAACGTCCTTTCAACAGATCTTTTGAGTCGACGTGTTAAAATATCACCCGCTATGTCCCATTTAAAGTACAGTCTCAGATATAGGGATTTTTTTACTGACTGAGTCACAATTTCTTCTTTTTTCATCCAGTTTCTATGTTTACCTTGGCCTACGTCTAAATCACTGGATACCTAAACTGAATATTATAAACCTATTACCGCTTTCCTTTTTTTGATTACATCTACCTTAATCTGCACATTCATCATTCCGAATTCACATGGTTCCCGTTTTTGTTCATCGTAAATATCTTGATAACACCCCTCTTACTCCATATTATATTCAAAGAACAATATTATTATTATTATTACTGTTGCTATTATCATTATTATCTCAATTGGCAAGATGAAATTCTCCTACTATACATTTTATTCACACAATTTTTTTTGCATTTTCAATTTTGCTATATTACTATTCTACTGATTGTGACTGAACACTTTACTCCAGAATAAATATGTCTTTACTCATATTGAACATTTCTGTCTAAAAATTTCTAGTTTTTAACAACCCTCTAAAATCTCACTACTAATTTACATAAGCAGTGAAATATAAAATGGACTGCTTGTTACTTTATCTACAAGTTGGTAAAACTAGTAATTCTATTTTTTCTTCTAAACCACATGTATATCCTACATCAAACTTCCTTAATATTAGAGAAATATGAAATATATATCACTAGATAATCGTCTTTTATATAATTAACAATTTTAAGAACATAAAACATGCCTACTCACTTATGAAGTTTATGTAATTCAACAATTTGTTGAAGCATTTTTGTAGTTTGTAATTGTTGTGGTGCAAATGGAATATTGGCAATATATTCTGTTCCTATATGTGTATTTGGATCATAATCTCCAGCATCTGATTGAACAACATATGCACCAAGAACAACATAAGTATGATGTGAACATGGAATCCTATTGAAAACAATAAATTCAAATAATTTAGTTTGTGACAATATTTTTGAAAAAACAAACAAACTACTCCTCATAACTTGCATATTGTAAATTAGTGTAGAAAACAATAACTTCATAATACATAACTCATTTTTTTATTTTTTTATGTCAACACATAGATATTGGTACAAGGAGGCACCAAATACATATGCGCCACACAAATCTCATTCGATATGTGTGAGGGCTGTGATGCTGACCGGGTGCCCAAACCGAAACAAGTGGTTTTCTTAGGGGGCCACTCCCTGAGCCTTCGACCTGAAGGTCTGATCCACAAGGCAGTGAAGCATCGTAAGGAAATGCAGTCCCATGGAAGCCGGTGACCAACAATTGGTTCATACGCCATTTGTTCCCTCAGGATACTGGAGACCATGTGCACCATTGGTTTGAAATCCGGTTAAAGCGCCGGACATTCGCTTTTCGTCCTCTCATTTTCGTAAACAACACCCCCGCCACAAGAAGGCTGTGAGTAGGAATTCTCTGACAGAAGCTATATACGCGTTGCCATGTGAGTGCATTTGGAGAGGGAGAGCGGACTCTCCCCACTCTCGGCCATACCAGAGCATTTGGGGTCCTAGTCCTTTATTATTATTTTTAGTGGTTCAATGGATATTAACTGATTATTCAGCCATGCTTAAAACATCACTTGTTTTATAGATAGTTTCTTTACAAAATAATAAATAATCAAATACAATTTGGTTATTGATTTACATTTTGATTAGTTGAATAATAGAAACATTAAACTCTGTTTGGAAAACATCCATAACTTATATATTTTAAAGTTTTTCTCCTTCTTTTTTCAGTAACCTGTACTATAGTGACATTTTATGCAATCTCAATTTATAATATGCAATGAGTTTAATATTTATGGTGGAGTTTTGTTCTCTGAGCTGGATGGTTTGGTCGTGGAGCCTTCATCGTTCTTCTAAACGACATCATCAGCACAAACTTCAGATAGAAGTGAAGTGTTTGAATTTCTCCATATGTGTTTCAAAGCTTGTTCTGTGCATTTCGATGTTGATTGGTTCTTATTAACTTTAAATTTATCATTGTTTACTTCTTTGTTTTGGTTGTGTCTCCCATTGTTTTGATTTTTGTTCTTATGTTTGTGCATGATTTTTCTGATTGGTTGATAAGTTGGATTGATTTCAATATGCTTGTTGAAAGCTCCACGACCAAACCATCCAGCTCAGAGAACAAAACTTCACCAAAATCATCCACCTGAGCTACAAATCTTCACCATTTCAAAGTTTAATATTTATGTAATAAACTTTTATTTGAAATAGTCAATAAAAGTTCTCATTAAACTAGTATGTTATGCATATTTAACTTTTAATTTTCAAGGCTATAATCAACTTCGCTTTCACAGCAGATCCTATTTAAATTAACAATTTAATAGTTAGTAATGAAGTAATCAATTACTCGGACATTTGTAAGCATATGAATCATAAATAGATAATATTGTTCGTACACATTAGGCCTCAGTGCCCTGTTATCTTTACGATGGTACATGATGATTATAATTGGATCAAAGTTTGAATCTTAGCGAAATAAAAATAATGGTATAATATTTAAAAACACATCCGTAAATTATATTTACTGCCCTACTGCTACTTGAACTGCCGAGAAAACATAAATAAACACACTACTCCACACTTTCCCTGACATTCGACAATATTTTATCTTTAGCTAGAAAGAATCCCAACATTTCAATTATTAGATATATCATAGATTAAAGTCATTGAAATAATCAACATAACTACACTTAAAATCTACAAAATTAAAATTTCAAAGGTGTTTAGTTTCACAAGCATTATGTACAGATAGATTTAAGTACAATTTTTCTTTATCTTACATACAAATCGGTTATTCACATTCTTAGCCTACTGAAATTTAATTTAAATGTTTTCATGACTGATTAGATTTAACTAGACAACAACTGAAAATCATAAAACACTGGACAGTATCTTCATTACAATCATGCACTTCTTAGCAATATGTATTCACTACTTTCAGGATTAAAATCCAGAGCAGTTATATCTCACGACTAATGTATTATCTTTACTACGCAGGATTAATAATAATTACTAAAATGATTGTCAGTTTAAGTCACCTCACAATTTTATGTAATTGTGATCCTTTATCAGATTGATATGGTTGAATTCCACTGGTCACAGCCTCTCAATAGAACTTCAAAGTACTTTTCGGTGTTATTCCAATGGTTTCGGACTGTATGAGTTTAGATATAGTAACTATAGTTTCATCACTCTAATAGATCTGCCTCATCATATCCAAAACGATATTAGTTTTTAATCAAACAACATGCTCCTTAGATGTTCTGAAATTATCTAGAATAAAAACATATTTATTGCAATTCAAGTGTATCATATTGTTTCGGTGAGTAAGTAGCACACCAACTATTCAAACTTTAATGTCACGTATCCATGATTTGTTCATTGGTAATCTTGACAGAACAATGAGAAGACGGAGTTGATCTGGTAATCACTTGAAAAAAATATGATATCCGTCTAATATTCCTTCCAAGTTAGGATTCATTAGTGAATATCTAGTCAACATTGTGAAATATAGATTATACACCTGGTAGTACTTTTTGAAATATCTCACATCTATAAGATTTCCCTTGAATATTGCCCAAGAAAATTAGTTGAACTTTGTAAAGAAAAGAATATAAATTTGTTTAGAATATGGAAACTGTATTGTATAATAAAAAAAGAAAAGAATTCAACAATTTTAGAAAATTATTTACTCACTGTCCAGAGATAATATCTTGCCTTAATTGTAAACACAAAAAATAACGCGTTAAATCATCTTTGAATATATCAATATTTGGTGGATAGAATCGAACACGAAATTCTAGTTTCCATGGTATTTCTTTATGTATAAATTAATATAAAATAAAAAAAGATAAATATATTACTATTTAAGGAATGAGTTAAACAAAATATGACTAGTTAGATCAATATTTAATAGAAAATTTTTTACTTACTTTTAATAAGATGATATAATAACAAGTACAAATTTACAGATTTACATATTTATTAAACATTTTCCTAGAACAAACAATATCTAATACCTAAAAGAAAAGTAGAATGAAAGTCTATGATACTTTCATTTCTATGTAATACAGTGAAGTTTACATTTTCGCTTGAGCTATTTAAGATACTTTTCAAAAAATCTATATACATTGTATTAAATGTTCAGTACACTAAAGCATTATTAATTTCTTTATTGAGATTTTAATAGAGAATATCAACTTTAAGAAATTTTGTGTTGTTATGGGTCTACTTCAGCAAGATTTGGGATAAAGAACAAGTACCAACAGAATGGAAAAAAGGACATCTGGTCAGAATATCAAAGAAAGGTGATCTCAGTAACTGTAATAACTACAGGGGCATCACTCTTCTCTCAATACCAGGAAAAGTCTTCAACACGGTATTGTTAAACAGGATGAAGAGCTCTGTAGACGCCCAACTTCGAGACCAACAGGCAGGATTCCGTAAGGATAGATCGTGTACAGACCGAATCGCAATTCTACGGATCATTGTGGAACAATCAACTGAATGGAATTCATCACTCTACATCAACTTTATTGGCTACGAAAAAGCATTTGATAGCGTGGACAGGACAACACTATGGAAGCTTCTTCGACAGTCAATATCATACGAATTCCTATGATGGATTAAACTGCAAAATCGTGCATGGAGGACAGCTGATAGACTCGTTCGAAGTAAAGACCGGTGTCAAACAAGGTTGCTTACTCTCACCCTTTCTCTTTCTCCTGGTGATCGACTGAATCATGAAAACGTCAACATCTGGGGAGAAGCACGGGATACAGTGGACAGCTAGGATGCAGCTGGACGATTTAGACTTCTCAGACGATCTGGCTCTTCTTTCGCACACTCAACAAAAAATGCAGAAGACGAACAGTGTAGCGACCGCCTCAGCAGCAGTAGGTCTCAACATACACAAAGGGAAAACAAAGATTCTCTGGTACAACATAGCATGCAACAATCGGATCACAATTGACGCAGAAGATTTGAAAGGTATAAAAACCTTTACATATGTGGTCAGCGTCATTGATGAACACGGTGGATCTCATACAGATGTGAAGGTGCTGATCGGAAAACCAGGAACAGCATATCTACAACTGAAGAACATATGGAACTCAAAACAACTGTCAGGATTTTCAATACAAATGTCAAAACAGTTCTACTGTATCGAACGGAAACCTCGAGAACTACCACAACCATCATCCACAAGATACAAGTGTTTGGTAACTGTTCCCTACGTAAAATACTTCGCATCCATTGGCCAGACATTATTAGTAACAACCGACTGTGGGAGAGAACAAATCAGATCTCAGCAGAGGAAGAAATCAGGAAGATGCACTGGAAGTGGATAGGACACACATTGAGGAAAGCACCGAACTGTGTCACAAGGCAAGCCCTCACATGAAATTTTGAAGGCCAAAGGAGGTGAGGAAGACCAAAGAACACATTACGCCGGGAAATGGAGATAAACATGAGGAAAATGAGCAATAGTTGGATGGAACTAGAAGAGAACGCCTAGGACGTAGTGGGTTGGAGAATGCTGGTCGGTGGCCTATGCTCCATTGGGAGTAACAGGCGTAAGTAAGTAAATGGGTTTACTTCATCCTAATTCATTATAATTATGTAATTATCAAACTCTTCCGGGAGAGCTTCTACGAATTTCGTAGACCTCAAACACGAATAAAAGAGTGGGATCAGGTGTAGATTTAGGAACTCTATCCAATGAAGAGAATCATGATAAGAATATGCAAAAACGCTATGTGCTTCTCAAATCTTTCTGTTCTTATTTTAATAGACACTTACTAAGTATAAATGATAGTCTCAAAAACCATGATAGATGATAATAAAACTAAAGCTTGAATTTTATTTAACACTAATTCTAGAAACAAAGTGAATACTATGTCAATTCTTCCCTAACTATAATGGTTCAACTTTAAAGTCTAAGTTACCTCATTTTATCAATAAATGATAATCTTTATACATAACATAATCGTAACGATTGATCATCACTATTGTGAAAGTAGTTTTGGATTATAAAACTATGAATTTGTTCATTGTGAGTTAGAAACGGTAATTGAAATCATACAATATTTTAAATTACAAGCTATTTAAACAAAGAAATCAAAATATTTATTCGTTTTGTATTTCTTTATTAATAATGACTGAGAAAACAAGTAAGATTGATCAATGCAAATATGTAGCGAACGAAAAAGTATTATTCAATTAACTTGACAGAGAAATTTAGTTAACATGCGAAAGTGAACGTTAGTTTGAGTTATTAGACAAACTTTACTGATATTTTATGTCAAAACACAATAATCAAGTTGCTGTGAATTTAGTTTGATGGCTGTATCTACAAACTAAGCGAATGGTATAATGTTTCATATAGCTGTATAGTTATTAGCGCTACCAGTGAGTTAACTGGACTGTAACATTTAGTAAATAAAACACAGTCTAACTCTTAGAACTAATAGAATTTCATAAATGTAGTGCATAAAATATTTACTATTCTAAATCAGTCTGTCAGCTACAACGTAGGACCAAGCACATATACACATACATCCAGGTCGACACACTTCATTAGCACAAGATGAACACAGAATTCATAGAAGTAGTTAATTCAGTGGTGATAATATATAAAAGAAAGATTGCATATAAGGATATAGTACAGGAAGAAAGAATTAGTTCATAGAAAGAAAGATATGAAGTGATTTTAATCTCATAGTTTAAGGGAAGACAAAGAGTGCACACACCGACGCCATTGTGATCGATTCTGAGCCATGTCAACCAGTGTCTCCAACAATTGGTTACGATAGTCACGCGGACTCCCTCCAGTGTCAACTTTGTTCATACTAATATAAATAAACAAAGATGACACTGGACTACATTCAATTCATGAATATTCAGGATTATCAGTCATCAACTACATACTAAGATTTGTGTTTGATAAATCTATTTGAATGACAGCTAATATGACATTTTATTATTTATTTGCTAGTCGAACAAAACTAAATGTTTCGGTCATATATAAGTTATATGTAAGTTCAACAAAAAAATATTGATTAGGCAAATAATTACGATAATGGTTACAAAAGCTAATTAAGACGAATTACGCGGAATGTGTATACTTAGGATTTATACATCTTAGGAAAATCGAAATTTTAATTTGACCCATGAATACCCGTTTTTCTATCATGGAGTTCATGTTCATATTATGCCGCTTATTTGCTGTCCTCTAGTTTGACGCGGTGATAATATATTCAGTTAAAACACTGTGACATATAATTATCGCGTCACTATTCATTTTAAATTTATCTTGTTATAGACTTATGTATAGAAAACGACTTACTACTCGAATGATATGTTTATGATTAGTTATTGTTTTCGAGTATTGATCTAGAATATTTTCATTGCTGATCACAACAGCTAATTATTAACACAATCAATTGACAGATGAATCTTAACGTCTCCTGACTGTTCACCTCTTCAGTATAGCACAGAAATCACCTTTTGCTGATATCATCATATAGTTTTCATTATCAATTGAAGTAGACTGAGGAACGTTTGAAATAGACCAGCATTAAGCAGATGTTTAGTTACATTCTGGTGTGTTTCATCACTTATCAACTATGATTCAACACAAGATAGACATCCAGACCCTTAAGTCTCACAAACATCACGATACAATGTACAATGTAAATGATTTAATCAAAATCCACTGGTCTAAATTGGTCAATTTTACCCAAACCTGAATCTAGAACAGTCCTCGTTAAATAATACAAACTAATTTTTTTTACCTCACTCCTAACTTTACTGACACCATAGATAACAAATTTCTAGTAAAACGTTTATCTTTCAATTGACCAACAATTAGAAGACGATTGTAATTTAAATGGTTTACGAAGTTTTATTAAATTCGAAAATTGTTTCCTATCAGTTGATATCCATTCACTAAAAGATCAGCCATTTATATTCGCACTGCTAAGGAGTCTCATACTAGAACGAAACGACCGTTCAGTGATTCCAGATTTCCCACAGTGGTCTAGCTTCAATTGACTCATTAATTCAACTGTAAAGGTACTAAGATCTCCGCGAAACCTCCCCTTCTGATATTAAAACTTCATTTGACTATATTTGTAAAAAGTCAAAGAGTATTTAAGAAACTCAAAATGATCCTTGTATCATCTATTTTAATTTGCAAATGTAAAGCATTTGTTTAATTTAATTTAAATTAATCTTAATTATTTAAATGTAAATAGTAGGAACTAATTATTGTCTTTATAAAGTTAACTTTCCTTATAACAGAAATATGCTGATAGACTTGATATAATGAACTATTATCATACCTTTGATTTCATTATGTTCTAAAATCATAAAACCAGACATTTCTATCCTTTTAAACTAAATAGATAATCATTTAGCCTAAAATACAGTAAAATACTGTATTAAGTTTATCTATATTTTTCCATTATATGTATATTTAAAAGCTAAATGAAAGCAAAAGCATCATTATTACCATTATTATTTGTTTAACCACTCACTTTCTAATTGTTTAGCTATACGTTTATCAAGTTTCAGCCAATTCTACAAGATAAAATAGATAAAAATTCAAGATTTAATTGACCACATAAACAGATGAGTAAACAAATAATTCATTATGAAGAAAAGAATTTACTTAATAAATATAAACAATACAATTACATCTTTTCATTAATTATTATATCATCATAATTATAACAGAATAAATAATTATACTCTGTTTACATTAAATTTTAAACAAGTTTTATGAAATGAGTTGTTGGAAATTGATCTAATTCTTTAATAGCAATCTTAATATGAAATTCACTTGGTATTAATTACTTGGATCTTCTTATTAGCTAGAAGTGGAATCCAGGATGTGCGTTTTGTTCACTATCCGTCTTTGCTTATAATACTTGTGAATTAAGGCAATATCAAGGCAATACGCGCAGTATGTACATATGTTAATAAGAGATTGATCAATTGCAGTCCTAAATATTAATAGAAAGATTCAAGTAAACATTACCAAGTGAATTTAAACTTCACCCTATTGCACAAGCAAGTGGCTATCAGCACTCAGTAACTAAGTGGATAAGTTGATCGCGTTTGAAGCGAACGGTACCGGGTTCGAGTCCCAGAATGAGCACCAACTGTGAGACGCAGGTACATCCAGCTGACGAGTCCCAAATAGGATGAAACGCTCGTCCTGAATTCCACTGCTAGCCACTATCCATCTTTGCTTGTAATCTCAATATTAGTTTACATGGAGCATTTTATATGTAATAGGCAAATAATTTCTGTCATTGAAGTATGAATTACTGAATTGAGAAATAATCTGAACTCCTATTGAATAAATTTGATTTTAAATGATTTAATAAAAATAATACAGTTTAGTCCGAACTGTGTGGACTTTAGGAGAAACTTTATCAGTATTATAACAAGATATTAGTCACGAAAAACTCGGTACTCACTTTTGAGGAATGCTCATGACAACACCATATTTTACAGATATAATGGGTATGTTAACAAATATGTAGTTATTTGTATATTGAAAATGGACTACCTATGAAGTTCGTGTATTCGGATTTTTTTATTAAATGACGATATCAGATGTAGAAAGTAGTATAATTCGTTTGTATTGATTCTTTGAATCTTCTCATTGACTGCTGTTGTTCAGTCTGCTTCGGCAAATATACATCCTGTGCGGATTGATTCAATATTGTCTAAAGTCACAAGCATTGTAAGTAGAGATCGACAGTGACTAACAGTGGGATCCAGTATGAGCGTTTCGTCCTGTTTGGAACTGGTTAACTGGATAGACCTACATCCGAGTTCATGTTCACTCCGGGACTTGAACCCATTATCGTTCGCTTTAAAAGTCGTCGCAATCTTCACATAACTAACCCAGATACCCATTGCAATGTACATTGGTGTGAAGTTCAATTCATTTGTATTGGCTATTTGTAACTTCACATTGGTTTTGAGGACTTCATCTCATTAAATAAACCAGTGACTATCTGGACTCAGTAGTTATTTGGATAAACAGATGACGTGTGAAGTGGACTATAGTGGGTTCGAGTCTCGGAGTGAACATGAACTCTAGCAAGCAGGCAAATTCGGCTGACGAATCCCAAATAAAGATCATGTCCAGTTCAGTATAGTTTAGTTATTGTGCTGTGGATAACAAACTTACTGGTAAATGGTTACCGCTAGATGACAATAAAATCAACTCAAGTCAATCAGAAATATTATATAATCAGAACAATATGATCCAGATGTTCGACTGTACCAAGATCTACAGAAGCGTATCAGTATCAATCCAGTTCAATCTCACTAGTGAACAGGATATAGATAATTGATAACACTTTATAAATTTCACAGATGCAACCGGATGGAATAACAATTCCTCATTTAAAAATGAATTTAGCTTTACATAACATACTCATAATACTTATAGGATTTTTATAAAAGTTGTAAACATCACATTTGTGTTCCCAGACGATATGAAGTTTCAATTAACTAAGAAAGGCATTTGTATGAACAGTGACACCCGTAAAGTGAAAGTCATACTGATCAACGGTTTATACATATAATCCGACGTTATGAAGATATTTCAAAATGTTTAGTTTTACAAAAAGAAATAAATAAACGTGTAAAAGCTATTTTTGTGAATAGATCGTTCTAGGTATCTTTATAAAAAGGTTTCCCTGGAAAAATCCATGGTAGTTAGCCAGAATTTTTTTTAAAATGTCCTTGCTGTAGAACTCTTTATGCGTCTGAAATACATATAATTTAATTAACATTATTTCACTGTTCATGTAATCATAATGGAAATATCGGTCAGATTTAAATGAAACTGTATTAAGTGTGCTCATATTCAGTTACCAGGATTCTTGTGACATATTCGTGTTTTGGAAATAAACTACTAATTTAAGCATATGGCTTAAGTGTGTCAATATACCCGAATATATATTCTAATCTATACTTAGATATCACAACCAATACATAGAGTCAAATATATAGTTCTAATGAGAAATTCTTGGAATTTTATTTTGTTCTGTTAGTTAACTTTGAAACATAAATATAAATTTTTTTCGACAGGCACACAAAAGATTTGACTAAATATGACGAATTTAAAATACATAGAAATAAAACTTTGCCATAGCAAAGAAAGACATTTCAAAGATATTTCGAGGATATATGTGATTGTTTTTAGATAGCTTACGTTAGCATCAACTAAGTACTAGCAGGAACATTTAGGATTTATGGTTTTCATTCTCAGATTTTAATTAATGTTGTTATGTTGTCTTAATTTCAACAATGTATATATAGTAAAACAAATTGTTTATTAGTGTTTGCCAATATAAATGTGAGTAGGCATGTGCAATTATAAGACACAAATTGAAAACATATAGTATTTCAACTGAATCAGCTTACGATAGACCCATATACATGCTGATATTTGCAAGTGTCCTTCAATTAGACTATGGTCTAAGTAACATTGTGAATAGATGAGTATTGTATGTATATGAATCAATTATTTGGTTTTCATTGCATATAGCAGATAAAAAGACACTAAAACTAATTTGCTGTTATCCGAGAGTTTTCTATATAGCTACAGTATATTTTACAATGATCAGGTAGTACAAGCCAAATAATCACTGAAAATATGAAATTACATCACATTGACTATTGATCTGTTTTAGAAGTTAGAATTACAACTCTCAAAATCTATATTATCTACATATCTTTATTTATATATTATCAGCCTTTTTAGCAAATCATTTACATTAGAATAAATGAGATTCATTAAAATATTATACAGAAAGTCTTTACGTTGAGTATTATACAAGTTGCTAGTTTTTCAGAATACCGTTCTAGCTTCAAAAGCAATCCAGTGAGTGTTGATGATTGTTGATATGACTTGAGGTTGGGATTAAAATTTGTCGTTTAGATGGTTTCCGTTAGAGCTTTTTAAGAAGTGTTACTGATTTTTATCGAGATATGTAAATCTCTGTGATAAAATTCTAGTTACAAATTTCACTTCACGATAAACTCTTATAATGTTAGTTCAAAAATTATTTACACGATTAAATGAGATGGCTAACGTAAGGTTGTTCTTATTATAACGACATATTATACTTGATTAGTTATTACCTTGCACTGATTACTCAAAATTTACTTCAATTGACACGAAGACCGGGTTTAATAGTAAGTCTGATTCTGAAACATGACTAATGATGGGTTATTCTTTGCATTGAACAACACAGTGTGACTAGCGTTTCTATGTAATGAATAGCCATCACATTAGTCAATCGGATTCATTTGGTGGCACAAATTTTCATTAAAATGTTTATAATATTTAGTTCACCTTAAATTAACATCAGGTAAATATTTTTTAAATAAAAAGTTAAGTATTTCTTTGATATAAAGATGTACTAGTGTTGGACTAAAGCTCCTTGTAGATTTTAATTCATTCAATCAAAATAGAAAAGCCCAACTGTGGCATACATTTCCAAAGAAACTCTACTATACAAATACGAATATTCAGATGTAACCGAATCAACCCCCTTTCTCTATTTGTATATATATAACAATTTTCACCAAGAAACTTTAATTAGTGCCATCATGATCATTAAAAATGACCGAAAGATAAGTTCGTTTTCAAAATTCAACGGCACTTTCTTTCTGATGTGGAATTCGGTAAACATATAGACAAATCTAACTGATAAAAACATCAAGTAATTACCAAACTTTCATAATATAAAATTAATTCCAAAAATAATTCACCATTGTAAGGTACATAATGACAAGCAAGCCTCTATTATAAAACAGGATATTATCTAAATGGTTGTGTAAAATTCAAATAGAAAACATTTAATTATTCAACGGTTAGTAACGTAGGACCAGTTGAATTGTACGTTAATTCAAGTTGCCAAACTTCATATTATTACAATGAAGAAAATTTAGTAGAAATAAAATTATATTTGTTTAAAAACAAAATATAAGAACAATGTTCAAGGAGATGCATGAAACTATAAAACTAAAATATGAAATAAGTTCTTCGAAATGTAAAATAAGGAATGAATGCGATTATGCTAATAAAACTCGTTTTAGGCAGTATTAACTAAGGTCACCATTCGTGTGATTACGATTATCTCTCACCAAACAACCTGAAAGTCTGATAGTCAAGTAACCACTCAGGACAAAAATCCAACGACTTATCTGGATTTTATCATAGACTCCTCACAGTTCTGTACTCAACATCGCCCGCCATAGTATAAACAAATACACCACATATCCGAAGCAATTCAATCGGAAAATGTTCACAACCTTGTCCCTCTGTGACGCATTGCGCCCAACTTCAGCATTGCTCGCTCATCAATCTTAAAACATTTAAGGTGGAATATTTGCTAACTACACATGCTCTGTTTCTTCCAAAGCCTATTTTAATTGTCATTCAGTAATACAAAGCATAATTTTGAGTACTGTAATAGAACTTTGAAAACTAAGTGGTCACCTCACTTACGCTGCAGAATATTAAGTTGATAGTAGCCAAATGACTT